TTTTTGGCCAAAAAAATACTTTTTTCTCTCTGAACTAAAATTTAATGTGCCTAACTATTAGTACATCCAAGAATAATACAAGCACCAAGAAATGACCTCGAAAAACCCATAAGTAGAGTAATTAGCATTGCAAAAAGTATTTAAAATATTCTAAAAATCATTTGAACATTTTCTAAAAAGCCATTTTGAACAAGAATTATAAATGAATATCAAATTTTTGGTTAACAGATCATGCGTAGCACGGTAGGAGTACCTATACTGAAATTTTAGACAAAATCATTTTTAGTAATGACCAAAAATTGTAAGTCCTATTGCCTAAAAGGATTTTGGCCAAAAAATACTTTTTTCTCCTTGAACTAAAATTTAATGTATATATCTATTTAATTTTAAAATCAAAAGATAATACTGACACCAAGAAATGACCTCGAAAACCCGCAAGTGGCGAGTAATTAGCATGCAAAAATGTTAACATATTCTAAAAATCATTTTGAACATTTTTAAAAGCCATTTGAACATTTTCTAAAAACCATTTGAACAAGTTATAATCAAGATATCGATACGGTTAACAGATCATACTTGTACATTCAGGGTACCTATACTGAAATTTTGAACAAAATCCATTTTTGATAAAAATTACAAAAATTGTAAGAATCTATTACCTTAAAGGATTTTTGGCCAAAAATACTTTTTCTCTAAACTAAAATTTAATGTGAGTAACTATTTAAGTACATCAGAATAATACACAAGCACCAAGAAATGACCTCGAAAAACCCATAAGTGGCGAGTAATTAGCATTGCAAAAGTAATTAAAAATATTCTAAAAATCATTTGAACATTTTCTAAAAGCCATTTGAACAAGTTATAATCAAGATATCAAATTTTGGTTAACCAGATCATGGCAGCATTCAGAATTGCCTATACTGAAATTTTGACAATCATTTTGGCGAAAATTACAAAAAGTATAAATCTATTGCCTTAAAAGTTTTTGGCCAAAAATACTTTCTCTGAACTAAAATTTAATGTGCCTAACTATTTAAATTGCAATCATACACAAGCACCAAGCAGCCTCCGAAAACCCATAAGTGGCGAGTAATTAGCATTGCAAAAAGTATTAAAATATTCAAAATCCATTTTAACATTTCTAAAAGCCATTGAACAAGTTATAATCAAGATATCAAATTTTGGTTAACAGATCATAAGCAGCACATTCAGGAGTACTATCGAGGGCTGTGGTCGGGTCAGTCGGAGAATTTAAACTTGTGGAGTCGAATTAGGTCGTCGATAGGTGTCCAGACTCCGACTCCGACTGAAGCTATTCTGTTCCTAAGAACAAATATATGAACTCAGGCATATTCATTGCAGTGATTCCACTGATCCCACTAATTTTCTTAAATTATTAAAGAATTTATTTCCATTTTATAAGCATTATTATGAATTTATTGTAGCAGGCACAGTATAGCACTATAATTTTGGACGATAGTCTCTTCTTTACCATTTGAAATTTTGAATTATATCAAATTTTGTTTCGTTGAAAACTGCACAGAGGCTCTCAGCTACAAAACAATTAGCTACAACCTGTTTTTGGTGAGATTAAGGCAAATTTAATTTAATAACTTAATCATGTAAGGTTTATCCATTTTCCTTAATAAGGTATTCATTTCTTTAATGTACATAAATATATAACTTTACTTTAAAAGGAATTGTAGGATCATCATTTAGATCCACATCAGATTATGAGCTTAAACAAAATTCATATGCTGAGATCGAACTTTTAGATATACATGTAAATGGTGTTTTCTAGTTAATATCTTGAATTCTTAATAAATATATTTTTCTTTTGATTGAAACTTTGAAAGTCAAGCCTATCATCTTTTTGTAGTTCTTAAATATCGTCCAGATCATTAATAAAGCTGTAGCAGTATAGCCACGGTGTTTTACTTTTTACCTATGCAGGTTACAACATACAAATTACAATTAGGATGGTAGAAATAGTTGTTACAAATAGGCCAAGGAGTCGGAAGCATAAAAATTTGAGGAGTCGGAGTCGAAGGTTTTGTCTTCGACTCCACAGCCCTGGTACCTATTCTGAAATTTTGAACAAAATCCATTTTTTGGCCGAAATGACAAAAATTGTAAGTCTAAAGCCTTAAAGGATTTTTGGCCAAAAATACTTTTTCTCTCTGAACTAAAATTTAATGTGCCTAACTATTTAAGTACATCCAGAATAATACACAAGCACCAAGAAATGACCTCGAAAACCCATAAGTGGCGAGTAATTAGCATTGCAAAAGTAATTAAAATATTCTAAAAATCATTTGAACATTTTCTAAAAGCCATTTGAACAAGTTATAATCAAGATATCAAATTTTGGTTAACAGATCCTTAAGCAGCACATTCAGGAGTACCTATACTGAAATTTTGAACAAAATCCATTTTTTGGCCGAAATGACAAAAATTGTAAGTCTAAAGCCTTAAAGGATTTTTGGCCAAAAATACTTTTTCTCTGAACTAAAATTTAATGTGCCTAACTATTTAAGTACATCCAGAATAATACACAAGCACCAAGAAATGACCTCGAAAACCCATAAGTGGCGAGTAATTAGCATTGCAAAAGTAATTAAAATATTCTAAAAATCATTTGAACATTTTCTAAAAGCCATTTGAACAAGTTATAATCAAGATATCAAATTTTGGTTAACAGATCCTGAAGCAGCACATTCAGGAGTACCTATACTGAAATTTTGAACAAAATCCATTTTTTGGCCGAAATGACAAAAATTGTAAGTCTAAAGCCTTAAAGGATTTTTGGCCAAAAATACTTTTTCTCTCTGAACTAAAATTTAATGTGCCTAACTATTTAAGTACATCCAGAATAATACACAAGCACCAAGAAATGACCTCGAAAACCCATAAGTGGCGAGTAATTAGCATTGCAAAAGTAATTAAAATATTCTAAAAATCATTTGAACATTTTCTAAAAGCCATTTGAACAAGTTATAATCAAGATATCAAATTTTGGTTAACAGATCCTTAAGCAGCACATTCAGGAGTACCTATACTGAAATTTTGAACAAAATCCATTTTTTGCCCAAAATGACAAAAATTGTAAGTCTAAAGCCTTAAAGGATTTTTGGCCAAAAATACTTTTTCTCTCTGAACTAAAATTTAATGTGCCCAACTATTTAAGTACATCCAGAATAATACACAAGCACCAAGAAATGACCTCGAAAACCCATAAATTACAATTAGGATGGTAGAAATAGTTGTTACAAATAGGCCAAGGAGTCGGAGTCGGAAGCATAAAAATTTGAGGAGTCGGAGTCGAAGGTTTTGTCTTCGACTCCACAGCCCTGCTAAAAACAGGTAAGAATATCACAGATGGTGCCACCCTCACCAGGCAGTTTTGTGAACTAATGCCAAGCCAGCCAATCACAAATCAAGCAGGATCACACAAATTGGAAACTTTTAACTTCCCAGTACTACAGAGGGACTGAAAAAAAAGTATGGAATAGACATACCAGCCTTTGCATCAATGATCATTTACCTTATCACAGTTAATCCTTGCCTCCGTTAAACTCTCAGCTGTTCCAAACTTCCGTGTCACATCAACTATCTTTGGATTAGACTTCACACCAATTATCTTTGCTAGCTGATCAATTTTTAGCTCGGATGTCATTTTCACTACCTGAAATATAAACATGCACAAAATTAATCTAGAATATTATAGAATTTTAATAATTATATCACATTTTGAATGAATACCATTATCTAAATACTGTACCGACAAACTCCCCATGCTATAACCTTTACTCAAATTAGGGCGAAATGTTCAAAATCCTTCATGAGGCATCTGCATGTGCCTCTTCCACCCTCAAGTATGGAACCTAATACATTGTACTGTAAAAGAATACCTCGCTTTTCGCAACTCCACTTATCCGCAAAGGACATTTTAACACCCCTTTTCGATATTCACAAAGTATACCCTGCTTAATTTGTAAAGAAAATGTGAATCTCCATAACTTGAGGGATACCTGTAACTTTGCTATACATTAACCACCTTAGGTACAGTATACAGTACTCATAATACAGTAATAAGAAAATAAAACCTCGAAACCAACCTTCCGCTTCATATTTAACCTCCTTGGTGCAGAGTGAACAATGGTGAGCGTTGCCGAGAAAACAAAAGTTTGCCGCTGTTCCTTGGCAGATTTGTTGCTATTTATCATTTCGAGAAGTTGTGTTAATTCCTGAAAATGTCCACGTTCGACCATACGATCTGTTTCATCTACAGCCAGATACCTGCAAAGAAGAAACTTCATGAAAATGTACAAAAAGTTTTCCCTTTAGATTAGACTTCTGTTACAATCCACAAAAATACTATATGATAAACTTGTTTTAACACTTTGGCAGACTGATGATGAATATTTTGTCATCCCAAAACTCGCCAAATATCTATTTATCACTTGATTTTCATGGTTCAAGTCTCAAAAATGCATGCCACTGTCTCCTCATTCTTGCCACACAACTGTGATGGACGTGAGGTATACACTGTCTTAATAATAGAATCAATTCTAAATACTGTACATATATTCATGCATTGAAGAATAAAGTGAATGATTGCATATTGCATTGAAGACACACTACACATAGAACACATGTTGACCTTGAATAATAATGCACTAAAGACATAATGTTGATGTAGAATAATGTTCCATTGAAAACAAGCTGTAAACAGGTTCGGTTCCTGAGGACGTTCGTAAGTCAGATTTGTATGTAAGTCGGAACACATGCTGTGTGCATACTGTACTTACAGAACAATGTTTAAAACCCCATTATATCATTGCCTAGTTCTTATATAGTGTACATCTAAAATCAATTAACTTAAGACAAAAGAAGAAATAGAATAACAAAATACAGGTACAGTAAATGAAAGTAAAAAATAATTCGTCAGGTAAATTAAATACTGTACTATAAATTTCAAGTTTAACCCTGTTCGTATTGGTGGGGGATAGTAAGTCGGGGAATCCCTGTATCTAAAATAATTCTGCACTGAAGACATGATGTAAATGCAGAATAACGCTATGTTGAATACATGAAAATATTAAATAATGTCGAGTGCCAAAATAAAACCATTGTCATAATGGCTTCAGTGAATCTTACTTGTGACTCAGCCTTGCAATATTAACACTTTCACGGTCTTGGATGCCAAGGGCGTGTCTAAATTTTTTGCTACACTCAGTCTTGGAATCGCCAGAAGCATTCTTAAGATAAAAATAATTGTATTAAAAAAACTATCCACTGTTTGTTTTGCGATGATTTCACTTTTAATTTTTTTTCAGGCATCCCAACTGCCAAACAACAGATACCTGTAGTGAGTAAAGAATATTGATAAAATCTATTTTTCGGCCACCATTTATTTTCTAAAATCCATTACTGTTATTATTTACCTTAGAGATTTTTTGTTGGCGCCGTAGGAAAGCTGAGATTCTCTCGCCTTTTTTATGTAAAGTACGGTATACTGATTCATTTTAGAAAATGGTGTTTTATGTAATCAAAATGTAAGTTCACTGAAGATGTAATGATGAATTGCAACTTAGGTTCACCAAAATATGCATTTTCTTCATATTTTTTATTTGCTCATGTGATTCCTTATATGATTTTGTATACATAGTCATTATTAAAATACAGTCGACCCTCGTTAAAACGGACTTATAGGGGGGGAAGGGTGTCCGCTTTAGCCGATTGTCCGAATTAACCGATTTAGGGGTTAATATTGCATAATATTGCATTATACAGCTATGTGTATGTTTATTTGAGTGCCCCGTCATAGGAGTCCATTTTCTCTCACTTCAGGACACCTGAGTCGTCCGTTTTCTCTTAATCTTAGAGTGCACCAGAGTGTTATTTCTTAGTAGTGACACAGAATTCGATATTGCAACTGGGGTTGCAATTGTTGAGGCAACTTAGGTATGTCTGATTACAGTTGGAATATTCAAGATCCATTGTGAGTGATGTTTAAAGCTTCAACTGTCTTTATGGTTGGTAAAACTTGTCAAGTCTGTCAGTCTGAATGGCATGTGTGAGGCCTTGTGTTTGTAAAACCGCAAAATATATAAATATATAATGTTATGGTAATTATCATAAACACATAGGCATGACGAGGTTTATTACAAAGTGATGAAAAGGATACTGTACAGTGGGTAGTCCACAAAACATGTAGCCATGTCTCTTTATTTGAGTGCCCCGTCATAGGAGTCCGTTTTCTCTCACTTCAGGACGCCTGAGTCGTCCGTTTTCTCTTAATCTTAGAGTGCACCAGAGACTTTGTTATTTCTTAGTAGTGACACAAAATTTGAAATTACAACCCCAATTGCAACTGGGACAATCCCAGAACCAGAAATTTGATACGGACAGTTCAGATTTCGTCCGATTTATCCGAAATCTGGATTAAAGGGGTCCGAATTAACGAGGGTCGACTGTACCATTAATATCAATGCAAATATGAATAATGGCTTTGATGAGAAAGAAAAAAAATGCTGGCTGGCCAATATCCCCGATTCAGTGACTACGACCGTGAGTGTTAAGAGAACTTCACTAACTGACCATTTGGTCGATATCAGACAATCACTCCCATTAATTGATTTTACTGACTCTGTTTGAAGATTGTGTGTGCATGTAACATTTAACCCTCTGGGAGGGTTAAATGTAGTTCAGGTGGGATTTGAGCCAATGAACTGTAAAACCAAGACTCTACTCTGACTATCCTAATTTGACACCAAGACAACAAATTTTCTTTTACAGATTGCAGTGGATGGGAAGACTGCTATTCATTCATGGATTGCAGCAATATAATGTCCCTCATTGTCAAGTACTGGACACCTTATGGGCAATGGCAGGCTCTTGTCTGTGATGGGCTTGGAAATACAACACACACCAATGGCTTCTCATGATGCTCCAAAAACAAAAAAGTAATGTTTTTATATTAGCTCTGATATTATTTCAACTTGTTTGCAAATTTTTACAAACTTAAATTAGGAAAATTGCTTTTTATATTTGAATTTTCCTAATTTAAGTTTATAAAAATTCGAAAGCATAATGTACAACTCACCGAATATCTGGAATTTGACCGAGGTGCTTATTCCCTTGTTGGATTAATTCCCACAAACGCCCTGGGGTCCCAACTACAATATCTGGACCACGCCGAAGTAAACGTTCTTGTTTTTGAGATGCCACACCACCCATCACTACAGCAGTCTTGATATCAGTATGCACTAGTACTGCTGCCAAGTGACTTCTCACCTGAAAAAAACAAGGTAGTGCAGGAGGCAATGAGAACGTTAGGGGTTGCGGAGTTCATGTTAGAGTGATTAGGGCATTGTATGAGGGCTCAAAAACTGTTATGGCAGTACTGTAAATGGTTATTAAAGTGGGAAATATGAGGTGGAAAAAAAAAAGAGGTCCATCAAGGGTCTGTCTTGACTCCCTTTTTGTTTATTATGGAGCTAGAGACACAATAACAGAATTTTAGAACTGGTTTGCCTTCGGAGTTGTTGTATGCCGATAGCAGATAGTAATGAAGAGGTAATGGGGAAATTAAGATATTCAAAGATGGAATTGGAGTCAAAGGGTACAATAATGGCAGAAACAAAATTACTGGGGTAATGATTAATACCGTGGGGAAATGGAATTCCTCAGTGCTATGATAAAGGGTTCCTTATAAAGTCTCATTAATTTTAAAGATATAATAATACTAGTGATTTTTATAAACAAAATGTTTGACAAATTACCTGGACTGCAAGTTCACGAGTTGGTGTTATGATGAGTGCCCTGAGCTTCCCCTGGGATTTCTTAGTGTTCTTGGTATCCTCCTTCTCCAGAAAGTCAAAATCAGCATCATCTATAACCTTTACACACCCTAAACTTTGGATAGGATCTTCACTTTCATCTTCAGCCACATAATCACTGTTTTCATCATTCAATTCCTCATTATCACTGTTTTCATCATTCAATTCCTCATTATCACTGTTTTCATCATTCAATTCCTCATTATCACTGTTTTCATCATTAAATTCCTCTTTATCACTATTTTCATCAGATTGACTATCATCTGCTTCTAAAATCTCTTTACTTACAGCCTCATCATCACCTTCCTCATCAGTGCTAATGTCAGAATCTTGAAGGTCCTTAACATTTTCTTCAGTCTGGCCATCTTGCTCAAATTGATAATCATTTTGTTCAAATTCAACATCACTGTTTTCTACACCACTATCATTTTGCTCTGCTTCACGCATCTTATCATTAAGGATCCCATTTATAATAGGAATGCCAAATGCTAGAGTTTTCCCACTCCCAGTCTCAGCAGCACCAATGATATCCCTGAGACCTTTTATGGCAGCAGGGAGGACAAGTTTCTGAAATAATTAATATGTAAGACAAAAATAAGCAAAAGCCTCATATTAGTCACCAAATGCTCCAACATTCAGATAACTAGAATAGGAAAGTCAGAAGATATGTACAGTAGCTTTGGGTTATTTTGTGAGATAAGGACCAACATTTGCAATGTTATAAATGTGATGCATTTAGCTCTGTCCTTTTTACTGTAATGTACTTTGTTTTCACCATTACAGTAGAACATCAATATAACATAAAACATGAGATAGGTTCCAAGAGAGGTCACATTAAACCGAATTCACACTAAACCGAAGTGTTGGTTTCAATGGAATAATTTAGTTTGGTTCTTGACAGAAACACAAAATACTAAAAAGATTGTGAGTCTGCCCACACACACCTCAGCCCATCTCCTAGAATAAACAAAACATTGTTTTTTGTAGTATTATGTTAAAACAAACACAGCTAAAATTAAAGGATGTCAAATGGTCTGTTTACTGGCTGGGAAGAGAGGGGGGGGGGGAGCTGAGGTGATATGTTTGACAGTTGATGCCAAGGTCTAGTGCTTATTTATTTATCTTTCCTAAAGAGTGACTTTAAGTTTTTTTCTTATAAAATGTCACTGAACTGACATGGGAGAATATAATTAACATTGCTGGAATTCTTATAAGATAGTGATTAATTTGAATATAAACATGCTATAGTTTGCACTAGACAAAAATTTTAGTAATCATTTATAGTACATTATTTTGAGTACATGTACAGTACAGCTTTGCCCTTACAGTGTAGCGTGCCCAGAGAAACATTAGGTGCAAAATTTTAAATATGATGAGCCAGATTGACTCACGCAAAATAGGAAAGATTCGCTTTATATTAAAACATTATCCTTAATTGTGGGTGTCGCTTTAAATCAATAATATTAAATTGAATCGCTTTAAATCGACGTTCTACTGTACCTCAATTAAGGGTTAGCTATTCTAACTTTAAGATCCTGGTGACTGACATGAGTCTTACCTGGACACAAAAAGTTTTAAGGCCATGAAATTCAATCAGAAATCAAAGGGTACCAACATAAATTTAAAATGGTTCAGCATCAATCTTTTGCCAAGCCCTGGAATTATATATTTCAAGTGCTAATAGAGAAAGAAAATTGAATGAACATCCTTATCTTCACGAGAAAGTTATTAATTTTACGTAAAATAAAATAAAACCAAAGAGAAAATTCGAAAGCATAGACAGTACAGTACCTGGATCTCTGTGGGTTGTGAGAAGCCTAACTCTGCCAAGGCTTCCAACACTGGGGGTGGAGCAAACACTTCCTCCCATGCAGAAACATCTACTTTTTTAGTCGGTAATTGATCTTTCTTATGGCATGTGGCTCTGTCATAACAAGCTTTCTTTGTTGGAGTAGTTGTATTTATTCCTATATGTGGCTGCTGTTTCTTTCTCTTTTTTGTTGTTTTTGTTGCTGGAATGTTAGCCTCCTCTCCTTGAATGACATCACCAGTTTTCTTTAATGTATCTACTTTAGTAGTATGTACATTCACTCCTTCATTCTTATCTTCACCCTCAATTGTAGAAGTACTACTATCTGTATTACTTTGTGCTTGTGTACCTGAATTTAAAGTTTTTGTTTTCTTCTTCTTTTTCTTCCTTTCTTTTTTGGTGTCACTGATGATTTCACATTCAGGCCCAACTGCTGTGTTTTCTTTCCTTTCCTTCTCTTTCTTCTGAAATAAAACGTTCACAATTATGGAAAACTGTACTAACATACAGGTAAATATCCCCTACATTTACTACTCTGTTGGTTACTTCTGACAGAGGTACATACATATACCCTGTACTGTACGCTGTATAGTATATACATACAGGGTATTAGTTAAAACTCTACATAAAAAGAAACATATCCTTAAAAAGCATGTCAGAATTTTTTTCTAGTATAGTATGTGGTCTAACAGGATATTTACACTGGTATAGCATGTGGTGTACTGAGCTGGAGTTTGTCTACTGGGATACTTACATTGTAGCATCCATTAACCTAATCTAAGTTAATGGATGCTACAGTGTATATATCCCAGTAGACAAACTCCAGTAGCACCAGTAGCACCAAAAATTATTTATGCACTGTACCAGTGTTTAGGTAACCACTGCTAAAGCAAACAACAGTGGTGCAGTTTTGATTAATACATATACACTGTACAGTATACTTCACACCAAAACCTCAATAATTCTTAATTCATAATCTGTGATCTAACATAAAACAGTTTTCTCAGAAATTCCTTGCTGCAGTTTTCATATAGGCCCTATTTTATGACATTCAAACAAGAATCACCCAATAAATATTAATAAAACAAGATCAATACATATATAGCACAGTGTCTGCATGTTTGCTAGACACAACCTTGGTTTTCAAGACAGAGCTGAAATTTGACATACTTTAAGCTGTGTTTCTCTCAGGGGTGAAAACCACCATAGAACCCCCTCACATAATACAGTATGTAATATGATTCATGGGGTTACCTCAGATTACTGGCTAGATAAGAGGAATTTCGTCCCAAAAATGCATAACACTGTACAGCCTATCCGACGAGTTAACTTCAAATTACCTTAGGGGTTCACAAACAATTAAATGGCAAAAACTAAGTACCGTATGAGTATGATAATTCTTTCAGGAAAACTGGATTGATAGATTCAATACGCAGATATGTCCCCAACAAGAATTTGTTTACAAATGCCAACCATATATGTTCATGTCCTATTCAATTTTCTTTATTAACACAAGTGATGCTGCACCTAAAAAAAAAATAAAAAAGTACTGTATATAAAAAAATAAAATAAAAAATATAATAATGTAGGCTACAATAAGTGCGTGTATGTGGGGAAGATGATAGGGGGAATACTGTACAGTAATATGAAAACTACCCTGATAACTGTAAGCCATATCGAGTACAGTAAGATCTTGTATTTCGCGAGTAATATACTGTAGACTGGAAAAATTGCGCCAAATTCAAATACATAAACTAATGGGGAAAAATAACAATACAGACTGGCCACTGTACATCAACCTCTGATTTTCCCATTTATAACCTCCAAATGATACAAATTCTGCCTTTATTGACTTGATTGTGCTTTCCGGAAACTAGTTTTTAGGCCTTCCTCAAGTAATTTAATCACACGCTGCTTATCCTGCATCGAGCACTTGGCAAACTAAACTCCCTTACGATAGTCCCACTTCTCCTTTCCTTATTTGGCCACTTAGGTGGTCAAATGAAATCGCATGAAATATAAGATCTTACTTAACTGTATTACAATTTTACTTTCATGATGATAACCCAGATTTCTGGTATTCCTTGGCAGGTATCTTTTAATTGTCACAAAAGGGCTTTGATATTATGACACTGATGGTGTGACAGGAAGAGAGAAGGCTGATTCTCTTACTCAATCAATATAGGTAATGTATATCACTTTAGTTTACATAAAAAAAAGGACAATGTAAATTCTTGTCCTCCATTAAGTAGCCCCTTTTTTTTACGGGGATTAGCCCACCCGGGCACAGGTCATCGACCCACAACGGGGCCTAGGGGGCAAAAAATTAAGAATAAAAAGAAATTAAAAATAGAAAAGGAAAAGGTTATATTAATCTACACCACGAAATGCCGGAAAACCATCTTTTTAAAGTGAGACAGATTGTAAGAGTATGCAAATACAGAAGAAGGCAGAGCATTCCACAGTTTGGCTGTGTGAGGAAAGAAGGATGTACTATAACAGGTTATTCTAGTGTGACCGACATTCACAGAAAAATGGTGGGCACCGCGGGCAAGACATGTGTTACGAGCCCACGGCCCTGCCGGCGGTACACAGGATGCCAAATCCACCGAACATTGCCCGTTAAAGTACCTGTAAAAGAGAGAGTGAAGCAACATTTGGGGGAAGAGAATGGGAGGAAAGATTGTTAACTAAAGGAGGAGAGTTAATAAGACGAAATGCCTTTGATTCCACCCTATCTAACAGTTGGACAGAAGAAGAGCTACCCCAGATATGAGAGCAGTAACCCAAGTTAGGACGAATGAATCCCTTATATGCTTGAAGCAAATGCTCAGGAGTGAAGTAGCTAAGACACAGAGAGTAACCAAAAAAAGTGTATGTAAGACTAAAAGACTTGATACACAAGAATTTAAATTATTTCATTATTGATGTTAAATTATATCTCATAATACTAATTCTGGTAAATTACACATCCTAAAAAGCTTTGCATGCCACAACACTTACCTTCTTAACTATTTTCCCATCTTCCCAAACTTCCCTTTGTACTTGCCCTTGTTTGGATAGTTTCATCAATGTACATGATGATACTTCCTCGAAGCCAGCCAAGCCTTCGAATTCAAGTGAGGATAAAACAGGCCCAGAAAGTAAGCCAGCATTTTTTCTTTCTCTGTCACCTGTTTTCTTCAGTGTCTTGGCTCTATTCTTCCCCATTTTCTGAAAGCTTTCCTGTAATAGATAATAAAAAAATTAAATTGCCATACTTAGTCCTAAACTATAATGTTTTCAAATAAAATTGTACATCATAAATGCAGTACAGATATAAGAGCCATGAATGATGGGCTCCAGCTTCAGTCATTCTAATTTACATTTTATCCAGTATGAACCCAGCAAACGATATGAGGAGCACAGGACCAAAATAGGACAAGTGCTGGTGTGCCCGAAAACAATATACTATATGATGTCTTTCACTAGTACAGGGGTATCAATTAAATCTGCACTAGCAATGCTACAATCTGCCACTTGAATCACTTCAATATATTAACTGGTTCCAAAGTTATGGTAATTTGAAGATTCACAAACTCTAATTGCATTTTTGTTTTTTATTTACGTAGCTTGTCCTACTTCAGCTATTCAACCACGGGAAAAATACAGTATACAGTAAAGCCTTGAATAACGATGGTAATGTGTCCTCCAGTGTAAGGTGAATCATCGTATCGCAAATCATTAATTACCATTAAAATAAAGCAATAATAATGAGATGCGTTACCAAGTGTGACCTTTGAATAAACTGCAGGAGTGGTCAGAAAAATGGCAAATGAAATTCAACACCAGCAAGTATTTAAGTGGGTGAAAGGAATCAATAGAGGAGATAATTATAAAGTTCTTATAATATCCGAGCAGGATAGGACTCGTAGCAACGGATTTAAGCTGGATAAGTTTAGGTTTAGGAGGGGGTTGGAAGGAACTGTTTCACAAATAGGGTGGTGGACGAGTGGAACAAGCTTAGCAACTTTGTAGCAAGTGCTGGAACACTGGAAAGTTTTAAAAGGAGGCTAGATAGATTCATGGATGATAAAGAGAGGTAGTAACTCTCGACAGGAGCTGCCATGCACAGGCCAATTGCAGACTCCTTATTTTCTTATGTTATCCTTTCCCAATTTGGAAGTACACTGTCTTTTCACGAGGTAAAAAAGCTTTTATCTTCAATATAAAATTTTTCTTGAGTTTCTTTCAACTGTTATAAGTATTAAATTATTTAATTCCTACCCTTCTTCAGTCCACCGTCAATTAATTTACTCTAACTTCAGTCGGTGGCAGCTGATGATGGTGAACACGCTGGGCTGGGGGTCGTGTTTACGTCTTGCTCCCGTGGACTACGACCACAAGAGTTTGAAGAATTCACTAGTCTTAAAATCCTGTTATGTATATATTGCACATGATAATGCATTACTTTCGAAAATAACGTAATTTAATAATATTCTTCAGTTAAACTACTGAATATTAATAGTGTTTAATATATATTTACATTTAATTGGCAAACCAAATAAGTTTTCACATAAATATAGCAACTGGTACCTTAATTGGTACCATGTTGTCCAAGTGTACCTCTTAAAGGTAATAATGATACTATAATGCATTACTGTGATTCAATTTACTTTATTTTATCCTATTTCTATCTCTTAATAACCTAACCAATTGAGCTGGAGTGCCTAATCTTCATGTAATCCGCAAATTAGTGCTATTATTGTTGTTTTTTTTTGTACATGATAAATGGTATAGTTTTACTTTAGGACAACACGGGAATGTTAAGAATTTTAACCTTTGAAATCAATGGTTTGTGAAACTATAGATTCACTTACTTTGTAATGAAAAATTTATAATTTCCTTTAACAGGTATAATAAACCTTATAGTATTATTTATTAAGTACGATATTTACCCAATTCACCTAAACGGAAAGTAATATTTTATAATTTATTATACACCTGATAAATTCCCAATAAATAAATAAAAAGGTTATGTACATTATAACTAATATAATGGAACTAACATTCGTGACATAATATAAACAATACTCGGCCTGCTTAGCAACGTAGGTCGTCAGGCAGGAGCGTCTCATATAACTATAACCTTAAATTTTACATGGAATTTGGTCATACTTACTGCAAGTTGTTAATTTAAATTTTTACTTACTGTCTTGTTACTCTCTTTGCAATGATAACAGCGTGAGAACAGCTTTGTGGTGAAATTCTGTGCTGGATTAGCTTAGAAACGCATTTTTGTTGTGTCAACAAGTATGATTTCATAATGGTTAAGAGGTGTTGTTATGGTCTGTGTGACACGGACAGTCGGTATGAAGATAGACTGAAGGGTGGTGTGTACTTTATTCCCTTCCCCAAGAAAAGCAACAAAGAGAAATGTTTAAAATGGATAAAGGCCTGCGGTCGACCACACTCACAGCTTAATGTAGACAAAATCAACAGGAGCACTTACATTTGTTCAAAGGTAAATTAATGATGTCACTGAGGGTAATAATTTAGGGGTGACATGCAGCTAACCAAACCTGCTACAAAATGCCCTATCACATCTAATTTCACAGCATCATCATCACTGTTTCTTGACCATTTTCCACAATTGAGTTAACCGTTTACCTGGTGGCTGGATGCCCTTCCTATCACCAGCCCACTTTTACAGATTATAAATTTAACTACCTAGGCATTATACTGTACGTAGGACTTCCTAGCGACCTCTTAGCCGACTCCCTTAAGTAATCAAATATAACCCACCTACCACTTCCTATTGCTTATCATTCTTGTTTTCAACTTTGACTGACAATTTCCTATTACAAACACTTTTCTGAATATTTTGCCTACTGATTAAATGGTGAAACAATGGATTACGTGGTCAGAACAACAGTGTGCTGCCGAATACAATAGACACTTTTTGAAACAGCTTCAAGCTGTTTTTTTAGTGTGGCTGTGGTACAAAATAGGTTCTTGACAAATTTTGTTATTTGGAATTTGTTTTTATATATTACATTATTTATCTGAGAACACATTACATATATATTTATTACAAAATTATGTAAACAGAAGATGATGGTGGAAACTATCCGCACCAGAAGGTCTTTATGGAATTGCACCAAATTTTCAGATGTTGTTTGGACGATATGGAGTAATATAATTGAGTCAACAACATTGTATTAAGGTATTTGTTTATTTTTAACCTATCATTCGATCATAAATTACTTGTTAGTAGGCAGGGCATGAAAGAGGAAAACACTGCGAACACTTTGAAGGTGAAGAAATAAAATATTTACCGTAGGTACTGTATGGCACTGTGGGATCTCCCATGGTGACTGTGTTTTGGTTCACAGCTTCTGCAGTCTTTGTTTACATGTCAAGAAACGAATAACGATCACATCAAGATTGTTTATTACATTTTATATTTGATTGAATTCGATAATATTATCTAGAGATTTTGTTTGGATGATAGTAAGAAAATCAAAAGGACAATGCACAGGTTTAGGTGAGGTTACTTAGGTTACTTAGGTTAGGTCAGGTTCTGTATATTCTTGCTTCCATTTTCGTGTTCAGTATCATGCAAATAGTATCTCCAGAAATGTTGGTTCAATTCCATAAGTTATTTCTGATGCTGTCTCCACCTTTACCAAAGAGAATCTTCATTAAAAAGAGGGATGTGGGTATTTGTGTGTGTGTGGTCAATAAATAATATACAGTACTGGTATATCCATCTTCAGTATCTGTGTGTGCATCCTTTAATCTAAGAGATGTTAATAATGTTACATGAGATTTATATTTTGTTTCTTTCAGCATTTTATTAATGGTGGTCCTTCAGATAGATACCCTGATCCCATTCCAACTGAAAATTCTCCATCAATCACCACAAAGCAGAAACTCCGAAGGAAAGGAAAACGCCTGATTAAAAGTAACGAAAAGTAAGTACCATATCAGTTTTCCTATCTCTTAACTCCTACTCCCATGAAAATCATTTGTATAAAAGATGAAATTAAATGTGATTTTATAGTTTACATGCACCAAATTAAAACAGTAGGATAGATGAGTAGCAATTCATTTCATCAGGATGCAGCTCCCTGGCAACCTAGGGAAAAGGTTGATTACAGTATAATTGGGAAATAGTTTCTCGCTATTTGAGCTGCTGTGTCGTGTTGAACTGTCATCATCTCAGGTATTGTATTATTGGTATATTTCACTTCTGTGTACATTATGTGTATCAAATGGTATGATGTAGCCTCAGGAATTTATCTAGCATCATGTTTGAGTGAAGCTTGAAGTTAGATTAAAAATTAAAGGTGAGACAATAGCATTAGTAGATCTACACATCTTCCTACATACCATTAGATATGTTACTCTACTGTATTTAATTTTCTTCTCATGGGTCAAAACCAACTTTTTATCATACAACTAAATATAAATTTTCATTATTTTTAGCCATAGTAAACTCAGCTTTATCAGTCAGATTAACTTTCAGAGGGTGCACTGTCATCAGTACCTTCCCTTAGTCCATAACAGTGTTTAAAAAAAATAACATAGTACGTACCTGTATTGTAATATGCGATAGAGAACAAATAATTACAGTACAACAAATGTAGCTTCATAAAATAGAATAAAAATACTATACTGTACTGATCTGGCAGTTTCTTATGGCATCATAATTATTATGTCAAAACAAAAAATAAAAGAATGCAATAACCATCCCTTAAAATATACAATTCCATACCATAAATGCAGTTGTCAAAAAAATGGCACAATATTTTACAGCTTGTTTTCACCACACAGAATCCCATCTGAGCAGCTGAAGGATGAACCACAAAATATTAAAAGAACAAAATGGCAGCCATCACCAATATCTCTATTGGACCCCTCCATGGTAATTTATTTTTTAATATTTTACCATCATTCTTCATACTCTTGTTCTGTTATTAATATACTGTACTTTACCGGTAATTTGATTCACCAGACTTTACCTATTCCTCAAACTCACTGGAGACATTAGATTCATCTCCAACAGCACTTTCATGTAACATGTGGCAAATTAAATAAAAGACAATTATTCTGTATTCTTAAATTCCATATGTTAATTATGTACAATAAAGGTGTAGAGCTATAAGGGGAAGTGTGGAATTTGAAAGTGAACAAAAGTTTGGCGGCGTTGATTTTACTGACAATGCATAAGCGAGCTCGAGTGTAGAACGAGTTGACTGGCTACATCATTAATGCCATGAAAACAAAGCAGCGGGAATTTAGGATGACACAATAACTCATCAGGGGTCGAACGTGGTGAATGTATTATCTCCAAATTATAGAATGGAATTTATTACTTCAATACGTAAATTTATCATAGATGTTGATTTTGTGTCCCATATTGTTCACTTTGATTCAAATCTTTCCTGGTTTATAAGTACTGTACAGGTATAACATTATTACAGGTATACCCCTGTATTGTAGTGTACAGTACAGTATTGTACTGCACTACAGTACAGGGTATATGGATTTCACTTGCTATGTTTATTATAGTCTTATAATCATTGAGTACACCAAAAAAAAAAATCTTTTAAAAACACGTCTTGCAGTATTTTAAAGTGTTTGGGGGAATTTTTTTTGTGTGTGAATGTATCTCGGCTTTTATAATGGGAGTCCATGGGAAAATGTGCTTTGAATTGTGAATAAATTTGCAAAAGGTTTTTCAGGACAGGAGTCGTATTGTGGATCAGGGAATTCCTGTACAATAATTCGTTTATGCTTGCCTAGTTTACAGGACTGCACCACTTATGCTTGTATCAGCTTTTTTTTATGTTTACACTTATTTCTACATTGTGAATTATATTTCACAAGTAATAATGAATACTGTACTGTGTGGGGTTTCTGAAAAGAAATTCTATTGTAATTAACAGCGGTACACCACATTGCATAACTGTAATTTACCTTAGGAACTGTATTATAGAAATGCTTCGTGGTCTTTAGAGAGGGGAGTAATGGCCCTATTCAGAAAGCTAGAAACACAAATCTGGCAAGTTAAAAGTCCCCTAAAGTGCTGAAGTTTTGTGTACTGTACTGTTCCTCACATCCATGGTTATTGCTAGTGAAGTTATGTTTTAATGTATTTATTTCTTTACAGGACACTGTTGTATTGCAGAACCTTGAGAGAAACCCACAGAAAACAGATGCCATCCAGCTGAGAGAAGGTGCACTAGCAGGTAAAAGTGAATGTAATAAATCACAGGAGAATGTAACTGAGGAGAGTGGAGTCAGAAAGCAGCAACTCAGAGCACTCTCCTGTGAGTCTACTCTTCAATTTCTCAAAGATCCCACACATGTCTTTAATGGTGAAAAAGTTCAATTTGTAAAATGTTTAAGGGAAGCCGATCAAATTTTTGATGGTTTAAAAAAGAAAGAAGTGTGGAGGCTAATATACGATTTTGCCGTTAAGTATAACAACATTATTCATAATCCTATATGTGATTTTGATGGATTAGGTGACTCATCATGGTTTCAGAAATTTATCGAGAGACACCCCAATGTGCCTATAAAGAAAAAAAATAATTCAAGGGCATCCCAGAAAGTAAATTTGAACTCTAATAATGTTAATACTCTTCAAGACACAGTGCCAGATTTGATACTTGCTGGCAGTGACCCAGTGACAAACTGCAACATACAGATGGACAATAATAAAAACTCAAATTCTTCACCAAAGAGTTGCCTCATAAAAAAGGACCACCCTCATGTACCTGAAAGCAAAAATAGTTCTTTTTGGTATAAATGGCTTCATGATGTAATAGGAGATAATGTGAAAGAAGATGACAGTGTTGTGTTGAATAGTGATGTGTCTCAGGGTGAGTGTAGTGGAAATTATGGAAGCAATCAAAGTGGAGTTAATGGAGAAACTGTTACTGTGAAGGAAGAAGATTTTGTTGCCATGGAAGAAAATAGTGTATTTGTAAAAGAAGAAGATCTTTTAGGCAAAGGCAGTGATAGTGCAATTATAAAAGATATTTCTGAAGAGGAAAATATTATATTTATAAAAAATGAAGATATTCATAAAGAAGAAGAAAGTATATTTATAAAAAAAGAGGAAGCTTTTGAAGAGGCTTACGAAGATGCTCTCATGAATATTGAAGGCCCTGTATGTAGTAAAAAGAGGAATTCTTTATAAAGAATAAAGAGAACTTATTTTTACAGGAAGAAACCAACTAATTTATAAAGGGACAAGAGTATGAACATATCAAGGAAATGATTGTATGGGACTCAGAGAAAGTGCTACAGGGTAGTGCTTATAATGGAACATAAGTGGGCAAATGTGTTTCAAGGGAGAAGTTGGTTTGTTTCTTAAAAAAAAAAAAAAAAATCAAGGAAAAGAGAAAAATGTCAGTCAGGAAAATATTAATTTTTTTCAAGAAAGAACTTCGTAATAAATGCGATAGAATAATACCTACCTAACAGCTATAGCAGTTGGTGTTGATTCATACAGTTGACCAAAACCTCCATATTTCAGATTAATAAGGGCTCTACCCTTACCAAACTAAGACAAGTTCCAAATTATGATCAATTGTAAGTCGAGATGTATTTTTATAAATATTTTATACGTATTGGTACAGTTTATAGAATTAGTATTAAGCAACAAAGATTATTTTTTGCATTGAGATTAGCTAGATGAATTTTGTTAAATTTCATTGTTTTTGTACATAACCGTATATTAATCTTTAAAAACAATAATGTAGTTTAGCCAATAGGTTAGGTTTCTAGGTATATAATGTATAAAATATGGTACAGTAGACCCACAATATAGCAGGAGATTGGGGCCAAGAATTCATCACACATTACTGTATCGTATTGTTTTGTATAGTATTTTCATCGGAATTATAAGGTATGTGCAAGCAGTTCCAAAGGATTCAGCAAAAAAAATATCTTATGACATCTTTTTCTCACTTCATTCCTACCGGTAAGTCCCTTTCATAACACATTTTAACAAATTATAACTCACATTGTGTCTAAACAACTGCCTTGGGATGATCTTGAACTGTAGGTGAATTGCATAGATGCTGCTTGTCAATGCTAGCAGAAGATACACCAATCCTGCCATCTGGTGGGGCTGGGGAAATGTTAGGTTTCTTCAGCTAGGTACAGTAATCAATTGTCTTCGTTTTATATTAAACCTTCAAAAACATATTCGATTAAACTTACTAAAGATATTTAATGTTTCTCTAAGAAATTATATATTAAAAACATATTTTATGGTATGTACTATACCAGTGTTTAACAGTACAGTAGCTTACTGGTATTACCAAGGAAACCCTCGGCTATGATCTTGGTTGTAATTACATATTTTCTTGGTTGGATTAAGAGGTTTTAAACAAGTTTAGTATATTTTATTTATATCTATTAAAGAAAAAAAATCAAATAGGTAGACAGAGCCAAATGAGCTTGGGATGGTAATGTGAATTAGTGTTCTCAAGAGACCTGTAAACACACTTTTGTTGTGAAATTCTTCAGATGAATAAAATGTTGCAAATTATTTCATTAAAATTTTTGTCCTTTTATTTATTTAATAATAAATGTTAAACTGTTTTGTATTCTTTCCTTCTCTACATTTTACCAAACAGTGCTACAGTGATATCCCCATTAGCCAAAATAACTGGTGCAGAGCTCTTGTGGGGATGAGAGATTTCCAAGTAACGAGACGACTCTCTCAAACCCAGAAAAACCCCACATTCCCAGAATTTTTCTGTGTACGGGGAAAATTTTCTTAGAATTTTCCATAATTATGCATTTCACCCTTTCAATTTGCTCCCAGACCCAGTAAATAATTTGATAGTTTCCAGAAATATGCATTATTTCATCCTCGGAATTTGCTCCTGGACCTGGAAAAAATTAGGAGTGTGTTTCCTGAAGATTTCTTAAAATTTTCCAGAAATGTGCCTGATTTTCAACCTCAGAAACTCATTCACAGACTTTGAATGGAGCGAGTTTTCCCGGAAAAATTCCAAGCCAATTTAAATAACACTGCGGGAGTATGCCGTGTCCCTTTGTGTGGTGCTGTACCTCGGGCAACCCCATAACCGCTTTGGGCTATGACATACGTTTTCTCAAATCGCAGTCACTATGGAAAATGTGTCCCCTAATAAATTTATCGTGTTAGTTCAGTATAGCCAAATCACGCAGTGAAAAGTCGCATTATGGGAGAACTTATTGTATCCTCATTTCATTTAATAATATCCAGTTTACGAATAAAAGTTCACCATTTGTGGTGATACTGAATCACAGAAATGAGTCTCCAAACTGACTTACCCCGACTGTCATCCGGTGTTATATCTCAACTGGTGTCGATACAGCTTCAGTTTGGGAGGCACTGGAAGGGGGTGAACTTTTGTTTATGACTATACATGGGATTCACCCAGAATGATCTTCATTAGTAATGCTGTTCTTGGATATCTGATACTTGATTATACAATATTGTAACAATGTCAAGAAATTCCTGCATTTTATGTAATAAAGTAGCCAAGGGTGCAGCATATGGGTACTGTACTGAATAATTGCATTTTCACTTTTCATTTCTTTCCAATAGTCAAACCTGTTGCTAATATATCCTTAATATGTCTTCCCAATAACATGCAACATTCAGCACAAACAACCAGAAGAACAGGAAAAAAAGAGAGCAAAATTAGTTATTTTATTTCATAAATAAAAAAATAAATAAGTAGCACTCACTTCGTTCCCAAACCACAAAACTTTTTACCCAGTAAGAATATTTCTGAGGAGTCACATCTGCTGGATGGTGGCTTGACAACCTTAACAGATCTGTAGAATTTTTCCATGTCAGTGATGAGTTGCCTGTCTCTGAAGCCACTCCATATCTACAGAAAAGATACCCATAAAAAAAATACCAATTAAAAATGCAATTAAATTTTTCAATTGAACAAAATACTGATTAAGTAAACAAAATAATTAATGTGTAAGCAAGTAATATGTCAGATAGTTAAGCAATAATTTTGAGGATAAACAGATATATATTCAAGCAAGGGGTGAGAATTACAGTATACAGTACTGTGCTATATACTCGCATAGGAATGGGTCCATGTAATATGAATTGATGTGATTTAATTATTTAATTTTCCTACAAAATGTACAAAACAGAATGATATGTCTAAAACTAGACTAGATATAGTGAGAGCCGATTATAATCAGTAACATTTTTTGTTTGATCCGAATTTTTATGCATTTTAACTTATATTATATCAGGATGCTACATATTTGATTAACGTTTAATCCCCTTTTAGCTTTGGCAAGAAATTTTGGTACAAGAATTGAAGAGGTTATTTTAAAACTTTATGAAATGTTAACTGTTGAAGAATAATGCTCTATATGCTAACTTCAGCAGTGTTAATTTCTCTCAGCCATATATAAGTTAATCTTATTTACTATGACCGAGTTAATCTTATGAGAAATACTACATGAAGATGTTAATTTTCATTGATCTATGCAGCTACTTGTAGTATCTTTTTATTGCTAACAAGTACTTCAATACTGTGATGGCTATCAGTAGTTTCATAAAAACAAATGTCATCAAGTCATCACAATTGGTGGTTTACTTTCATTACTGGAAAATATATACTGTATATCATTGGATTTCAAGACTGAAGCAATACACTGATAAACAGGCAGTAAGATTTAATTAAACCCACTTTTGAAATCATGCTACATTTAAATACTAACCTTACAGAGAAAGGTGGACTGTAAATCTGAATGCTGAATGGCAAATCTTAATGCAGAATATGCAAGGGCAATGATGTTCTCATGATCCAGTTCTTTTGTGCCAGTAGCATTAGGGGCCATGTCTGAGAGAACTAAATTGACCTGCAATGGAAAAACAAGTTTCAATATCAGTATCTTCTATTTCTTTAGCACTCTGTCACCATATTTTCTAAAAGGTGACAAAAAGATGATATTTGAGCTGCAAACAGACATCTAGGAGCAATACATTCAATGACTTTTTAATTCAAGTTACAAACTGGTGTATTGTCCATCCTCCAAGAGACAGTGAAGAAATGGAATAGTCAAAGGGTTTGAGAGTGAATGTGGCAAAAACGAAAGTACCCGGTATTGATTTATAACGTGTGTGAGACCCATGGTGGAACATGGAATATGGGCATGTACTGTCTGTAAGAGAGGTATTGGCAGCAACTCAATAATGTACAAGAGTGTAGAAGGTGGGTACACAGAGGTGCAGTGGTGTAAAGGTCAAAGTGCAGGATGTTAATGACTTTATATGTTCTGTATGCACAATCAAGACTGGACAAACTCAACATTGGGGATACGGTATATCTTTGGACTGTGTTTATTTCTGCTACATGGTTGACATGATCAGCACTGGAGGTGGTGCTGAAACTAGCTCAGTTACAAGAGTCAGAAGTGACTGCAGGATGTCAAGGGAGTTGCTGCAAGATGACCTTCCTTTTGCATGAAAAGAAAGATGTATGCAACTGACATGAGAAATGTGATGTCGTATGGCAGTGAGACATGGGTAGTTAAAGAGGATGACAAAGGCAAGCTTAAGTGGGCTAAAATGATGAGATGGATGTGAAATGTGATACCGACAGATAGAAAACCCTAATTAGAGCTAAGAGGGTGGCTGGCTATCAAGAGTATTGGTGAAGGTTTTCAAAGAGGTAGGCTGAAATAGATTGGACATGTGGAGAAAATTGAAGAGACCAACTGGTCAAGAGGGTCACAAGTCAATATATGGAGAACTAGGGGGTAGGCCAAGAATGATATGGAAAAAGGCTTCAAAAAATTGCAGAGTTAAGAATCTGATGACAGGCTGAGAGACCATGCAGCATGGAGAACTGTCATCAAGTAATCATGGCTAACACATGCAACCAAGTACAGGGGGTAGTTTTTAATATGGATATGTACCCTGTACTGTGATTTTCAGCAAAATCTAATTTTGGGCCCAAAACCACCAAAAATGTAAGTCTTACACCTTACAAAATTTTTGACCAAAATATACTTTTTTCTCAGAATTGAAATTTAAGGGGTTTAACTAATTAAGAACTTTCAGAATAACACACAAACCCTAAATCACACCTTGGAACCCATAGTTGATGAGTAATTAGCATTGAAAAATGTCAGTAAAATTTTTCAAGGGTCATTATGGCCACTAATTACTCTGCAATCAAATCGTGGACCACTTATTCAAAATCATCAAGCTCAGGAGTACCCAAACAGTGGTCCCTCGGTTAACGAACGGTTCGATTAACGAAATTCGGTTAATGAATTACCTCCCATAAGGATCTTCAATTCGGTTAACGAACAAAACTTCGATTAACGAAATCCTTACGACAAACAAGTTTTATTGTGGGCATCAGCTGATGGGCTAGTCTGCCAATTCAGTAATCTGTTCTATGTTTACATTCATTTCCAGGGGAGTAAATATCAAGACAGTTGTGCTCTTTAATATTTTTGCATTTTTTATATTAAAATTATTAGTCATTTTAAAATCTAGTAAACATTGATAATATATGCAGTACAGGGTACTTATTTTTTGTGCGCCCTTCAGCCGCTTGACTCACCCACCAGGCGTCAGTTTGGCTTTGTTTATAGTTGAGTGAACATTGATTTTGTTGGTGTCTTGAATATTTTTGCATTTTCACATTCAAATTATTGGTCATTCTTAAATTTAGTTAATAATATATAGTGCAGTGCAGTGTAGTGTTGATTTAAATAAAATAATCTTAAATTACACCTAGTGAACTTAAAATTTAATTGGTGAAATTACTGCATGGGTCCCCTGAAAGGTGATTTCTCCTCCATCCCCACTTCCTTCTCTTCTCCCTGCTCCTCCACCCCCACTTCTAATTCCCATCATCATCATCAACCAGGAACCTTCTACATACACACCTCAAAGTATGTGTACTTTACTGTATTTTTTTTTACTTTGTATGTACTTTTCTGTGAGTTGGGACCAATTCCCCAATATCCCATTGAAACAATGGATTCGGTTAACGAAATTTTCGGTTAATGAACGACTGTGGAATGAATTGTGTTTGTTAACCGAGGGACCACTGTATACAGGTATTTTGTTTACAGTATTTACAGCAGGGTCAGGATATATCGCGACTTTATATAAAGATTTTTTTATATCGCGGCTACCAAAATTATCGATATTTTCAAATACTGTATACTATAGCGATAATTTTTTTTATTTCACGAGGGAAATCGGGCAGGAAGTATTTCAAATGTACCGCCATGGCAAACAAATGCGTTATTTGCTCACCAGAGGCACCACCGTGGCTGGTCACTCACGCATTCACTCTCGCCCGCACAGTCTTTCTGAGTGAGTGACGAAAAAGAAGCCGACTCTGCTGCAGATTACGACTTCTAAGGTGAGTGTAAATGGGTTGCTAGTAACGTGTGAAGTGAAGATAATGGAAAGCTTAATGGAAAAGATTTAATACTGAAACTAATATTTTTGCTATTCGTTTATGTAGGCGTGGGATTGTCAAGTGAGGGTAGCAGTGTGGCGTGTACTACCGAGTCTGGTGTTCCTTGATATTGATACTGACATTGAAATAGCCTGTTGTTCCCAAGTCTACTGTTCATTGGTGCTTTAGTTAGTATGAAAATGAACTTGTTAATTCAAGTTTAGTCACTTTTTTGGGCCTCCAGAACCTAACCCTATTTTCCCCATTGATTACATGTAATTATATATCGCGATTTAGTATATAGTGAACATTGTTGGGCCCTAACTCATGATATATCCTGACCCTACTGCACAATATAATGTATATGTCCAGTAGTGTTTGTATAAATAAATATAGCTCTGAGTCTGTCAGACTGCAGTCCAATGGGGATGAGAAAATCTGTCTCAACACCGGAAAATCTCTCAAACCCAGAACTGCTCCGCACCAATTATTCCGGCTAATGGAGAGATTACTGTATCTTAGTCTTCCAAGCGCCTATTACAGTTAATACTGCAAAAAAAAAAAAAAACAATCGTACCTTTCTACCCTTAAGTACATTTAGGATTTCCTGTTGAGTTTCTGACAAAGTGAAGTCCTTCCCACCTAGTGTTACTGCCCCTGGTAGTGGATGAATGGACAAAATATCAACAGCAATCACCACTCCTTGAGATCTGTTTGTATCTGGAAAGAGTTAAGAATTTTGTTATTGTAAAAATTTTCAAATTAACCCCCCCCTGAATACAATAACTCCCATGTCTTGCAAGAATTTACAATTCATGAATATATCTAACCAAAAGCAGTATAAATGTGGATGTTTTTCTTATACAGACACTGCGGGTTACAGAGCAAGGAGGGATGTAGGTTGGGAGCTTTTAGTAGACTTACTTTTAAGAAGTCCTGCTGTGGCCTAATTTCTGTACATTATTTTCCTTAAAAATATTAATTAAAGTCTTCAAACATTAAAAACACTGAACTATCATGGATACAGGGAATGATCCTCAGTTGTTCAGAAATGATAAACTATTACAGGGGCTACTGGTGATATGACCTGGGGTCAGAGTGAGTCAGCCCCTGTTGCTGTCATTCCCTACAAGCTATCATCAACACCACCAACCATGTTCACCAACATTCACACAATCGAGTAATTTGTTTCCTGCCATACTTTCTCATTAACATGCTTTTTCTAATGATTAATTTACCTATAATTTCATCAAGAGTTGTGTATCCATACTTCACAGCTTGCTTTATTGTTTCTATAAGTTGAGCATTTGACAAGTGACGTTGTTAAAGACAGAGACATTAGTCAAACACTTGGGTAAAATTTTGCATACTCTTCATAATCAGAAATACTTAACCCTTGGGAAGACTGTTCACTCCAGAGACAGCTACCTGAGTCCAAGCACCTGGGGCTGCTCCACACTCCACAACTACTTGTCCTGGTTTTAAAATCTTGTGTCTTTCGTCAATTTCCTGCAACTTAAATGCACTGCGAGCTCTGCGGAAGAATACAGTTCATCACAAGCCTAATAATTATAAGATTTTGATAAGGACATTTTTAGGATTATAGGTGTTACATACAGTAGTCACATCCAATCCTTCACTTAAAGCACTTGAATTAAATATCCTTTATAGAATTTTGCAAAATATTATTCTTAAGATACTGTATAGAAAATAACATTACTTTATATTGTATTCACATGTTATAGCAGCCAGAGGAAAGAGTCTATTTTGCTCTTGACTCCAGTCATCCTTGTAGAAGAAGGCTTGCAAGTGTGATAAAATAATGTATTTAAAAAAAAACATCAGAAATTATTCAACATATGAACTGAAAGATACTTGTTTACATTGAAGGCACCTCAAGCAAAGTCCAGGAGAATGATCAAAATAACATGATTTTCTTGTCACTTATTATTCACTAACTTTGTTCAATATGCACCCATCCTCTTATTATATACAGAGCTTCAAGTAAACCATCTTCACCTCTAGGAAAACTACACATTTAACAATAACAGTACAGTTATCCCCCAAAAGACTCAAGAATTAGTACCAATAAGAGAATAAGATGATTCAACTTGCAATGGAATAAAGTTGATTACTTTGGGAAAATGGGTGGTGAGAAATGAGTTAGCCCAATACTGTAGGTGAATTTATCTTGGCACAAAAGAGAAATGAGCATGAGAAAAAATAAAAAACTTTACATCATACAATAATAAACTGCACATTAAAACTAACCTGAACTGTTCATATTTTGCAAGTTTTACATATGGATCATTCAGCTGCCTTGTTAACCAATCTTGTGAGCTTCTGCTTCTTGCTTTTAATTTTTTTGGAATAACCTTGTTTGTAACACTTGAGGTGCAAAAATGACAAGTTTTTGAAATAATCCAGAAGCTTGATCTCATCTTCTTGGCACAGGGAAAGTGGTTTAGTAAGTTGTACCTGGAAATGAAGCAGACTATTAAATATCTATACAGTACAGTCCTGTACTGTACTCCGCTAATTAAAAACGTTTCCCACAAACTTCAAGAAAAGATTATAAAAGAGCTAATTTCTTAAAGATTTTGTACTGTACAAATATATCTTTCCCATTGTGAAAATCAGAGCAATTAATAAATCATTTAACCATATTATTATTTATAAATAAAATGTAAAAAAATAGTGTACCAGGTAGTTTTTCTTACAAAACTTAGTGATGCAGTATATATTTCCTCCATTATTTCACCAAGTGCTGAACTAATTTTTAATAAGAAACAGAAAATAATTTTATACTGTAACCTTACAAATATCCTCAGTGACTAGTATTTATGCAACCAGTTGAGTCTACATTTTAAAACTCAGATTATCCTATGAAATTGCATGAGGTAAATCAGATGTAAACAATGTACTGAGAGGGCTAATATACGAGACGTGGATGTCAGCAGTTAAGTAATTGTGAGGGAGTTTTTAGACATGCTGATTACTTTCAGTTCTATTAATTTTCTTGTATAAATGCTTAGTTTTCTATATACAGTATATACGAGTTAAGATATAGGTTAGGTTAGGTTAGTACATGATTCCAGTCATTTTTATATTTTTTCCCAACATAATACGGTATCCTCTAATAAAATTGGTGAAAAGTGGTTATCTTTAAACCCATATTTAACGAAAAACAGCGGATGGTTACGATCCAAATAATTACCCAAAATACAATACTGTACCTATATAAATGTAGTATTTTGTTAGGTTAAGTTAAGTTAGGTTAGGTCAGGTTAAGGACTAAGACTATGATATTATTTTACTTTAGGACATAGCGCACCCCAAAGTTATAAACTAATGAAACATTTAGATCTCCCTATTCTGAGCATTTTGAATCCCATTTATATTTGTTGGAAATGGAAAATAGCAATGCAATTGAATTTAATTGATTTTAGATACTTTTAAGTCTTCGTCTGTGAAGAGATGTTATCTGCATGAAACCAAGTTAATTATGCATCACGCATGCACACTATTGACTGAAGTCCTCCAGTCATGACCATTGATGTATCGATATCATGTGATTTTTTCAACCAATCACATTTTAATTTTTTCAAAGGAAGCAGCCTGGGAACGGATTTGAATTTCAATGACCAGTCACCAGTGTGACAATGGCCGTGGTGGAGGTTGGTTGTGAATCGTGTTCCTACGACTATTTTGAGTTTATTGCCGAGTTTTACGAAAGACGATCATGCTATCCAATTCCTACGTAATCGCGGTGTTCTGAGTGCCCGCACTGTAAATTGCCTTGTAAATGCCGATGACGAGGAGGTCGATGACCCTGAACCTATCCCTGGTCCTTTTTTCTTTTTTTTTTATCCTCTTCGACATGGCACACCCCAAAGTTTTAAACTACTGAAACATTTACATTTCCTTATTCTGAGTCTTTTGAAGCCTATTTATACTAGTTAGTAATGGATAGGTTAGGTAAGTTTAAGCTAGGCCTACCGGGGGTCCGGGGGCGGAGCCCAGGGCTAGGGGTTGGATAAAGTTAGGTTTGGTTTGATAACTCGTTTTCGTGTTCGTCCCCACCCAAAACCCCGATTTCCCAGGCTCTCCCCCATTATTGTTGCTGGGGTCGGGGTGGGACACATGCACGAACAATTTCCGGCAAAAATTAAGGTCAGATTCGTTTAAAACACACCAAAATACACTGGAAAAACATATTGGGCAGCCCCTAGGGACTTGTGTCCGAAAGTAAAAATTTACCAAAACTATTATCCTTGGGTTAAGTTAGATTAGGTTAGGTTAGTTTGGTTAACTTTGAGCAATAAAATATTGATATTCCGTCCGACTCGGAAACTGTTAGCAGTCATGAGGTGCCAAATACTGCACTGTTAAATTCCACAAATTATCCATGGCTCATAAAATAAAATAACCTACCTAAACCAACGCAAACAATGAGGCCAAAAGTAATATTGAAATGTATATCTCACAAAATATTGAGTTCATAAAATAAGAAATCATTGTAGTCATACAGTATAGTTGAATGCCATACAAAAAGTAGGTAGTTAAGTAGTATAATAACTCTTTGATACCTCTGTCTGGCTGCAACTTACCTGGAGACTGTTTCAGGCTTCTGTACCTTTATGTTGAATGGTTTTATTGAGCTCTACTCATACAGAATACTTCAGGAACCCCGCCAATTGAATGTCAGATTTAATGTGTTTGTTCACAATCCACGCACACACAGGCAGCCCTTCCTACTGACTGTGCTGCTTCGTCTGCATTCATCGTGCCTTGTTATGTTCAGTCAGAATCCGTCTCCCACCTACTTCACCTACCTAAAACACTTTACAACCGACCTTTTTTTTTTTTTTTACGGGCACCAGCCCACCCGGACACAAGGTCACTGTCCTACATCGGGGTCTGGGGGCCAAAAATATAATAATAATAATAATAATAATGATAACTACAGCATAACAACTAAAATAATAATAATAATAATAGTGAGAAACAATTTATGTATGATGTGATGTCAAAGTAAGAGAAACAATATTATACTAACCCTGTTGTTGTGTGTGTAAGGCAGAAAGTCAGCAACCTGTGACTTGGTCACAATTTTCGTGATGCCATATGGCAGCAGGGTCGGGTGCTGGACAACTCGTACCCATCAGTCTAATGGGTACGATTTTCAATACGGGAGCCTCCCTTATTGGCACCGAGTGACAGTCCTGTAACTATTGTATAACCTAAAGTTACAATTAATGTGTGTGGATATGTGCTTTCAATTGACTGATTAAAGTGCTGTTTAAGACACCATTTCACTTTAAGAAAGTTGTTTTTATCGGTGCCGTCACAACACTCTTTGGCAGGTTGTTCCAAGAGTTCCCAACTTTCACTCTGAAAAGGTTTGCCTTTTCAGTTTTCTGGACTTACGGCTTCTTCAACCTTGAGCTGTGACCTCTTGTGGGCGAGCGTCTGCCAGCCCCAGGTATGGACACTCGACTGAGTAGTGCCCTTTGAGATATTTATACACCTCAATTAGGTTCCCCCTTGCCCGTCTGTAGTATAAGCTAGGCCATTGCAGGTGCTCTAATCTCTCTGGGTGGCTGAGGTGCCGAAGTGCAGGCACCAGTCTGTTGGCCCTTCTTTGTACATTTTCAATCAAATGACAGTCTTTAGTATATCTCGGGGACCAGACGGGGTGACAGTACTCCAGGCGGGAAAGCACCTCACTCTTGAAGATCGTTATGAGGGACGGACCAATTAGATATCTGAACGACCATCTTACAAGACCTGATGATTTAGTTGCTTCATTCACCTTCTTACAATGGCCCGAGAACTTCAGTTCATTGTCAACATACACACCTAGGTCCTTTTCGCATTCAGTCACAATTAATGCAGTTTCTTCATCCTGTTGGGACATATGATACGCTTCCTTGCCATTGGTACGTCCCAGGTGTATCCTTTTGCACTTCGTGACATTGAATCTTAGCAGGCATTTCCTCGACCATTCTTGAAGCTTACAGAGAAACTTTTTGCAGCCTTTCACAGTATGTTTGGTTCTTAATTTCCCTAAATACTTGGCAACGTCCACAAATATTTACAGGGAGGAGTGTATATCTTCTGGCATGTCATTTATGAAACAAATAAACAACAACAGGCCCCCAATACACTGTTCTGTGGTGCCCCACTTTTCACGGGTACACATGACGATTTAGTATCGTTAATCATCACACACTGCTTGCGATCATGGAGAAAGTCTATAATCTATGTTAGGACACTTCCCCGAGTCCCGTACCCTTTCAGTTGAATTTTCAGACTTTCATGGAGTATGCTGCCGAAAGCCTTGGCAAAATCTAGGTATATATTATCGATATTGGCATTAATTCCGCATTAACAATTTCCTAAAGTCACAATTTCATCATATCGGTATTCATAACTTAGTTTATTTCAGGGGTAAATATATTAGAGGCAAAATTACCCATGATAGAACTTGCTACCGTAATTATTCAGATCGTGACCGTCCGCTGTTTTTCATTGAATCTGGGTTTAAAAACACCCAATTTGGTAAATTTTCACTAATGCACAGGTCTTTCTTTGGATATCAAATATATGTTTTTCCTGTGTTATTTGATGAATTTTGAACGAATTTGATATTCATTTCAGCCGGAAATCAATTTTTTTGAGATACCACCCCCCCACCCTACTCATCAATCTTAACGAAAATGTATATGTTTTCGAGTAAATCACAAATAAAATACCAACTAATCAACAAAACCAAACCTAACCTGACCTAACCTAACACTATTTTTCTGAAGAAACTCTACAATTGACGTAATATAATCTCTATCACAATGTTGGCACAGCTCTTTCCACCTGTTAAGCCATATCTGGTTATTCTGGTACTGAACAATCAAACCTCCGCTCCTGACACACCCACGTATTGTTCATTGGCTCAGACAAAAAACTCTTGACCAATTATAAGTCTCCTATCACTATAGCCAATAAGAAATCCTCCCCCTCCTCCCTTACATGCGCTGTAGACGCTTAAGAAGCCAACACAGAGGTAAGGAGCACTGCGAGATGGGTGGTCAGACCTTCTCTGTGAGCCGTAAACAACAAATGGCGACACTTGTGACTGACCAAATCTAATAATATTGAAAAGTTCATATCTCGGTTATCCTTAATTTCCGGCGGAAATAACATAGAAGAAAAAGGTCATAGAATTGTCTAAACATTACGGAAAGCATATTTATAACAGCAAGAGAAAGACCGGTGCATGACTGAAATTTCACCCCCAGTTTTCACTGATTATATTAGAGAATACTGTATTGTGTTGGGGATAAATATTAAAATGGGTGAAATCATGTGCTAACCTAACCAAACCTAAGAAAACCTGACCTGACCTGACCTTACCTTTATCTTAACTCGCCTATATCTAGAAAACTAAGCATTTGCACAAGAAAATGAATAGAGGCGAAAGCATAATCAGTGAACAAAACTGTGGTATAACTGCACTTTGGGACAATACCCCTAGTAGTTGACCAATGTGTTTTTCCCGATTGTTTTAGACAATTTTAAAACACTTCTTTTATAACGTATCCCTCACAAATTAATATACCGGAAACAATGTGGGGTACGTTATGTTTGGGTTCCTCCTCCATCCTGTGTGAGTGGTCACTCCGGGGTCACCATTTGTGGGGTACGTTATGTTGGTTCACACTCAGGATGGGATGGAGAAAGGAAACTCACAATGTGCTCTCTGTATACATGTTGTATTGGATGTACAATGCAGCTTGTTGCTGGGAAGGCAGCATGGTTACAGGCGTTGAGTAGAGAGAGCTGGTTGGTGAGGGTGCTCAGAGGAGGACAGCTTGTGGGTCGCCATGCTCGCCGGCGGGAGCGAGGGCCGCCAGGCAGCGGTGGAGGAGGTGGTGTTGCTTGCTGCGGCTGTAGCGAGAAGGAGAGTGGTCACCACGAGGTCAGGTGTTATATAGCGGAGGTAGGCGTGGCTTAATAGTTGACCTCCGTCTTGTAAGGCGGCGCTGGTTGACCTAGACCACGAGGCATACACTGGGGAATTCGCGGGGTCGGCTACTCAGGTACAAGCGTTTGTAGGGGAGGAATCCACTACAACATCATAGAAGAAAAGTGTCTTAAAATTGCAGGGTAATTTTTTTCAGTTATGGTATTCATACCACTGTGCCCAGCGGCTGGTGCAGCATTGCAGTTAAAAAGAATACTCTGCTTTTCTTCTTCTGAAGTTATAATTCTCTGCCATTAATTCTGTACTGATTACTGCTCTTAGTCTTCACCACTGCCTTCTTTACACGATAGTCACTGCCTGGCCGATGGGTGTTACCTTTTAGGTAGTACTTAACATACTCCATGTACCCAGAAAAGTTTTTAAAGTTCTAACTCTGCATTTTCTGACCTGTCAGAGTCGCCATATCCACTTATCTATCGCCACAGCACAACTGGTTTCTTCTGGTCCGACGCAGGTTGAGGCTGGGTCACGTCACTTTTTGTGAATGTGCCGTCATCAACCGCGCATGCGCAGTTATCGTTTCGGCTACTTCTGGTTCGGGTAACTTCTGGTCCGCTACACCGGTGTAGTTGACCAGAAGTTACCCAGACCAGAAGTGTACGAAACGGCGACAACTCGCCATTGCTGATGATTAATTATCAATCTCAATATTAAGGTAAGTTGTTTAACACATAAATTAACACGATAATGCATAGAACCTAATAATACCCCACAAAGTGAGAAGGTCTGCCACAGTATTGTAGTGGATTCCTCCCCTACAAGCACCGAACCTTCTCGAATTCCCCAGCCTACGCCTCCAGCGCCGCCCACGGAGCGGGGGTCAACTATCTACCCACGCCTTATAAGGCCTGACACCGCTGTGACCCTTCTCTTTCTACACAGTGCCACCAGCAAGCAACACCTCCTCCTCCGCGGCAGCCTGGCGGCTGCCGCTCCCGCCAGCGACTTTGGCGTCCCTAAAGCGGGTGTCCCTCCTCTGGGCACCCTCACCGCCCAGCTCTCTCTACTCAACGCTTATTACCATGCTACCTACCCAGCAACAAGCTGCATTGTACATCCAATACAATATGTATACAGTGAGCACATTGTGAGTTTCCTTTCTCCATCCCATCCTGAGTGTGAACCAATATCTCATACCCCCACAGTATCACTGTTACCATATGCGTTCACTGCTTTGTGTAACGCAGCCACAGACCCGCCAATATCTGGAGTCTGCTGTGGATCATCATCATCATCATCCACCTCATATATAGCAGGCCTAGGCTGCTCATCACCTGGACTCCCCTGTATATTGTTATAATTTTCTTTCTCCTCAGCTTTCTTGTTCATTTCTGGCTCCAACAGACTCCTGAGAAAACTTACATTGGGAGTATGCATTGTCTTCAACAGCCACTGATGCCAGCCACCACCTGTTTGCACAAGTGGAAATTAATTTTTAGGGTAGAACCATCATGCCGAATTCTGCACAGGTAGCTTGGTGCCTGCATAGAGAACCATTTTCAGAAATACTTTGCAGTGTTTTTTTTTATAAGTATAATATTTGGGTAACTGCACAATTTGTCTAGTACAATATGACATACAATTATAAACACTATATGATATTCGTTGTTACGTTAATACGTATTATTGCTCATAAATCAAAATAAGACCAAAACAAATATACTAGTGGAAGGCTCTGAGTTCGGTACTGTTGGGGATGTTTTTTTTTATGCCTACTGCCATGGAAATTATCGAGTTACAAGCATGCTTAAAAAATTTGCTACAACGAGTTCATATATACCAAGCATGTCACTTGCAAAACCAAGTTGCGGTGAATATTTGAGAAAAGATCCACAGTGGTTGCTAAATGCAAGAAAAAATGGCACAGTTAAATGATATCTACAACATCAATAATTTTTTGGAGTCGCAGTCCTGGTTTGAAATGTGGACACAACATCAACATTCTCTTTAGAACTTTCTGGTACAACCTTTGTCTTGTCCTTGACGGATCTTCTGAAGCAGTGATTTGTTTCCTGCTATTTGATAAACTCTACTGATTTCCTTGACTCTTCCAGGTTCCAGTCTCCACTTGTGATATGTCAGGTTATGTCCTGCTTTCTTGCACCCCTATATCGAGCAGTTCAGTGGCCTCGGATTGACTCACCACGACTAACTCTAGGAACACCCTTCTTCTGTACACAACATGGCACTACAGCTGGCCATGGTATTTAGAATTTAATGGAGCAGCCTCTCAGGGTACTTGCCAAGTTCGGGCTCCTGTACTACCAATCAGAAGCGCCAGCCTGTGAAATGTTCACCAGGTAGCTTCTGTGCAAGCAGTCTGCCAGCCCAGAAAATGCAGCAAAGACCAAGGGATGGACACAGCTCCTGTTGAGCCAGGTGCAAAGTTGTAAGGCCGGATGCCCTTCTTAATGCCAACCCACAAGCTGGCAAAACAGGGTTGCAACTCCTTGAGATAATTCAAGACTACCTACCTAATTATCTTTTTACTTTTACTTTTATCCTCTTCATCACTGATTGGCTCGTTAGCCGCTTGGGCGATCGGTCACGTCCCTGATTACTTTTCCTTAAGTCAAATATATTTTACAATAACAGGGAGTGGGCCTACAGTCATCAGGATTTAGAGATGAAAATGACTAATATTCAACACATGAACCCATATAATGTTTTTTTTTCTTTCCCTTCGTTTTCATTCCATCTATACAGGAGCAGTGATATGAGACAGTTTTAGACAGAACATGAAGCATTAAAACAATCTTTATCATGTTCAACATTTATTTCTTTCTGGTTACTCTTAAGATGACAACGTTTATAGAGTGACAGTGGTGTGAAACTGATAATTAATGGGAAATGATGAAAATGATGTATAAGCCTAGCAAGAATAACAACCACATTACACCAAAATAAAATTTGTGGCAATAAGCCAAATAGGCCATCATACCTTGATCCTCAAGCCATAATAAATCACTTATTTTATGATAAATTTAGTTGACAAGCGAGTTTTTTATCTGCTCCAGATACAATTAACTGGTTCCTTGGATAACATGTACAGCATCAGTTGGCAAACTGACTGCATCTGATTGGCTAATTTACTAACTGTTGAATGACAAGTTGAAATTTGAGATGGCACATAAGAGTGATAAATTTTAATTTGTTACCAAGACCAGACGTGTTGTGTCGGTCATGAATTATCATATTTCTCTTCTTTGAGCCATGATCATGTGTTGTCTCTTACTGGTTGGTAAATTAGCGGGTCAGATGCCATCTTTCTGCTACTGTGTTATTGTTGTCATAAACCTCTGTGACAGCACAAAACCAGTTTACAGATACAGTACAGGTACAAGTGACATTTGATAGATGGTAACAGAAGCCTAGTGAAACATAGGGTCCTCTTCTGTCTGTTTTGCAGTATTTACTTTTAAATGCTTAAGTACATAGGTAAATATAATATATTCAAAATATACTTAATCATTTATACATAGACAAATTTTACCATTATATACATAAGGAATAGGACAGCCTGCAAAAAAAAAATATATCAGGTATATTTTATACACTTGCTGTAGCTGTAGTCATTTTAATGGCCTCAAACAACAACAACAACATCAGGCTGTTATGAGTGGAGGGAAATAATAGGTGAAAAAACTATTTTGTCAATGTTTTTCTTTATATCCAAAAATAAAAAAAGCTTCACATGTTGATGCTGAGCCATATATACAGAAATCCTTTATATGTGTTATAGGAAACTACCAATAAAACTGCAGTGGTGATGTAGAGTAATGATGATCTAGGCAATCATATGGTGGCGAGTGGGAGCGTTCATTTAGAAGAAATTCTTCATAATTACTAATATGTGATGCACAATGACCATGTTTAACAATTTAATGAAAAAAAGCAATGCAATTGAATATAATGAAATAAAAAAAAGTGATCTATACAATAAAATGCAAAAGATCAGTTAAGTGAAAATCATGACATGATGAATTATCTAACAGAATATGATGATGCAAGACACTGAAGCGAAGACCACTACCTCTATCTCCTACACAAACAGCATCTTCTTTTGTACCACTTACAAGTTTATATATTATCAAAAGAACTTGCACGAGGGCAAAAACTGCTTTTACACCTATGAAGCTCCATTATAAGAATGGTGTGCTTGTAAAAAAAACTATCAACCATAGAAGCATGATGCATCCATATCAAAATTGTGTGTGTGTTGCGTGTATGTGATTTTGGGGGTTATTTTTTTTTGTACATAATGAATCTTTAATTTTAGAGTACGTATGTATTATGAGTATGTACAGTGAAGCTGCGTCAATGTTGTGATTATTATGCACATCTGTATCTGAATAAGTTATCAATGAAAGTGAGACTGTCGTACAGAAGACGTTTTTAAAAAGTCGTTCTATTATTTTGAGATCTCTTGATGACTTGCATAGTATTGAATAAAAAAAATACAATGGAAAATAAATGTTCAGTAAAATCCTCCATATACTAAGTCTGACAAGAATTGACAGCTTATTTAAGGGAACAAACTAATCACCGGAACCAGACTAATGTTAATTTTTAAACTGTGTCTTAGGTTAGGGGTAGAAGAGGGGTAGGTGTGGATTAATTTAGGGGTAGGTGTGGATTAATTTAGGGGTAGGTGTGGGTTAATTTAGGGGTAGGTGTGGGTTAGATTAGGGGTTGGTGTGGGTTAGGTTAAGGATAGGTGTGGGTTAGATACCGGGTCATGGTTCAGGATTAATGAGTCGCCTTATTATTAAAAAATGTCTAAATGTGGTGTTCTCGGTAACATCTTCATAAAGGGAATACATTTAAATTGCTTCATATACATATATAAGTTTCTTGATAATTTAAATTCAAACTAAATGGTATTTTTGTCCAACTGAAGTAAAGATACATACGAGAAGACAGAATACACATACATCATAAAAAAACAAACATATACTGGTTATCTGAAATCACTGCTTGTTTGAAATATAAAAGGTGTGACAACCTCGAGAGTTAGACAAGATATTAGTTGCATTGCCTTAAAAAGAAAGAAAGAAAAGGAATTCTAACTCTACCGATATTTCAAGATGATAATCTTAAAATTTCAGAACTTTTTTTTTCAGGGAATATAACCATCATTAATTTCTTTGACATATATTTTAAAAAGACTTAGAATTCCTTTTCTACAAATCAATTAGTCTTTAAATGGCCTCAAAAAACCAGAATGTGCCCTGTGTCCTGGCAATACTGTGTCAGCATGATACCAAGGTGAGGTAGAAAACCACTGGAAATCTTACAAGCAAAAGTAATTCTTACACAACAGTATACAAAGTCAATTTACATAATGCAATGTGCAAAAATAAATCGCCTTGATAAAGGTGTACAGTATTGCCAGTTTAACAAACAAGGAATATATGACACAACATTCAACTTCGTCCTACAATAATGATGATCTCCTGGAGCAGAATGTTATGTCAATGTCTTTCTGTTATTTTCTCATGCACTATACAGAGCTGCACGGTTATTGACATCCAACTGTCTCAGTCAAGTTTATATATATATATATATATATATATATATATATATATATATATATATATATATATATATATATATATATATATATATTTATTTATCTATGATATTTTTTTATATTTATGAACATTGTCTATTCAGTTAAGAATATTGGTACACATCAAACACTTTAATTCTTATATTTTTCTTGTGACTGAACTTTGACAGGGGCAGAGGCAAGGTGAACAATGTTAGGAGAGACAACCAGGAATAAGACTACTGAATTATTATTTTTTCAAATGACACAAACCAAAAGACCCTAACAACCTAGTACAGCACAGGCTGGTCTGGTGGGGTTAAGTTCAGTTGTTTCTTGTCACCCGCTTGCAAAAATAAATAAATATATTTCAAAACATAATGACCTTGTGGGCCTGTTCATGGTACCTTGTACATGTTGCAGGGTAGAGTGTAACACTTCAGATGACTCTAGATGGCATGGGATCTCCATTACACTGTTTAATAGATACTCTGAACTTATGATTTAGCTGGCTAAAAATCAGCTTGCATTCTACAGCACAAAAGTTATTTTTTATATATATTACGAATTTATAAAACCTTATGTATGAAATGAGCACGTAATAAAAGACTGTCTTCAGCACAAGGAACAGCTGTGTTCAGATATCATGAGTTCTGAGTTGTCTTAAACAAGTGCAGCTAACTAGTCTGCTTGATATTCATGAATAAGATTTAAATAAATATGTGTTTCAGAAACCTTGTATTGAGTCATCATGTAGAGGCAGAACCATCAAGCGGACACATACACAACTTGGGGTGAATTCTTGGCTTAAACTTGAGGTGAATGATTTTGAAACATTCAATTAAAAAAAAATACGTACTTTATATCATGTTAATAAAGGGTATTTTAGTTTCTACTCAAGCATTGTTCAAGAATTTGCCCAATGGTGCACCAATAGCAATGGTGCGCATCATTATGTACATTGCATTTTTTATTTTCTACAATAAATATAGTGTAATTGGCAACATCAAATTTTAAATAATTCTTATTATATTTTGTGTCAATACAAGTAGTCAAGACTTAGTGTGTGGAGTTCACACGAAAATCGACACTCAAAAGAGTAAGTTGTTACCATTTATAATGCAATTAGGTTTTTATTATGCAAGGAGTTTGTAACCTTACAGACACACTATTCAAAATTCAAGATTGCCAATATAATTTACACCTGCAGACCCAGCGACAGTCTTGGCAGTCGCATACATTGAGACATTTCACACGTGTAACATGAAGTACAAAGCACTTTCCTAATTAATACACTGTTCATTACTCTAAAAATTTATTTTTTGATTATTTTAATGTTACCAACCATTATAACTTATAACTGACAAAGGTAAACTATTGTTTAAGCTAACCATTCAAATCACACAATGTAGTCAAAGTAAACTGTAGTAAAATGTATGTATAATGTGTGTGTGTGTGTGTGTGTGTGTGTGTGTGTGTGAAAATGAGGGTGAATGGCCTTGCACATGTCAAACCTTCCAGGAAATTTAGCACAGTTTGTCTTACACAGGTGTTCCCTGCTGTTCCTGTGAGCCGCTGAATATCTATCATTCACAAAACATTTATAGGTAAGTAACATTAGTTAGAAGTGTCTTTTGACTGCAACATACAAGACAGTAATTAAAATCACCTACGTAAAAATTTGCCTTTTTTTATAATCTTTAAATTCTCTTCAAGGTTTACTGTAGTCTGATGTACAGGAATATGGTTAATAACTCACGTGAACAGCTAAATTAAACTCTAAAACATGTTTAACAGGGAAGGGGTAAAGTTCATAATAATCTAAACGTCAATAAACAGTATCTAGATAACCTACTGGGAGGTAAGTCACATCATAACAATATAAATATTAATAAATAACCTAATATTTTCCTTGTACATTAGTATAATCCTAGAGCAAAAATATTTAAAGATTTCCTAATAAATATACAGTGTTCAGTCCGGACTCTCAAAGGCTTGTAGATAAAAACTCAAGTAAACAAGGAAGGAAGCATGAACGTGGAGTATAGTAGTATACCATACAGTAGTTAACTCAGGATAAAGTACAAATACTGTATAACATCCAGAATTGGCTAAACTTTACATCAAGATTCTACCTTAAGTATAGTCACTTGGCACGAGAGAAAATCAACACAGAGAATGTTGGCAAACATTATATAAGCTATGTTAATTTTGCTTCTTACTGGGGCAGACAAGTGAAGGTGTTCTAGTTAGGAACAAAAACTCCACATAATTTTGATGTTATTTTCATGATTCACTTGAAGGCAACCAGTTAATGCAGTCATACATGTTTAGTTACGTGAAAAATTCATTGAACAGTACATGCCTTTAAGAGCCTAGTCTGTCATGTTGAGTCAGAGCCACAGCACCTGCCACAACTGTGGGTAAAGAAACAATTACTGTATCTTGAAGAAAGACAATACAGTACTGAAAATTATTCATATTTTTGGATGTGAGTAAAAATTATGAAATGAGAGTAAAAATATCGGTTGTCTGTAAATAAATAAGCACAACTTTCATTAATTTTACCCAAGATATAAAGCATAATTGGCTCTTGCTTAACAACCTTAAACTAGGAGTTATATTATTATTTCAATTATAGGTTTAACGTCAATATATTTTAAGTCTACTATCAAAAATTTATTTATTTACTCTTTTAATTTTGAACACAAGGCATAAAAATATTTGTTAAAACAATTTAACGACTTTATAATTTTTTGCTTCCAAAGGTCTACAATACAGTACAGATATACAGTAAGCAGAAACGAGTGAAAGTGTAGTATACTATGGCCAATATTTTGAAGCCATTACAAAATTTTATGAAACTTAAAAATTTTATAAGTTCCCAAAGGCTAGTGTCTATTAGGTACAATAAGTATTGTATAATTCGTACATGTAAGAAAGTGTAACATTTGGATTGAATGAATTAAAAGTAAATTAGTTTGGATAGCTTACAGGTAGTGATAAAGTTATCTTTCAAGTGACTCATTAATACTAAAGGTATATTAATGAGGAAAGTAATAATTTACTGACATATCATTTTACTTTAGGGAATTATGTGGTGGATTACATAAGCATTCTGTTGTCATTTTAATGAAGTCATTTGCTATTGAAGAAGATGATAAATGCTTCCTATACTGTATTACGAGTGATGACTTTCTTACATCTGCCGATATATTCTACTGTCTGGAATGACACTTTGCTTCGTATCTGTTTATGAACATGGAGGGGTCTTGCTCTAGACCGAGCAATATTTCATTTACACCAAAATATATCACTCTAGATGTATATACCTAGTGATATCCTTATAATAACAATAGTTTAAAAACTATTGGTTATATTTTTGTAATCTTTTTTTAATTAGTCATTACTGTATAGGATGCATGTGATTTAGCCCATTGCAACCAAGATTTGATGCCATTTTTGTTTTCAATTACGAACAGTAAGTGGAGCGTTATACTTCAGTCACCATGAGCCGGTGCAGCAAATTTCATACCTGAAACAATATTTATTAAAAGTAAAAAATCACCATCTTTTCTTTCATAAAGAAACAGTAGAATCACTGCTGTGAGACGTGACCCTCTCCTTAACCCTTACCACAATGGTTCTCAACTCTAAAGGTATTACTAATCATAACCACAAATGACAGTTTTCTGTCTTCAATGATGAATTTTAAAGATTTAAGTAGTAGTTATACATCCTTAAGAAATGCGTTTAGATTTAGAAAAGCAGCTTAATTTCCTTGAAAGAGAGAGTTGTGAACCTGTAGAAGCATTGTAGGATCCTAGAAAAGAATCTCTGATCCACAGCAAAGTAAGTTTAGGTGTCAAGAAGCAGTTTTAGACCTTTGAGAAGCAACCTTCAATTGCTCACAGGATTTGATGATCCCTAGTGAGAAACTATAGAGTATAGAGAAAAAGCTTCAAATCTTTGAGTAACAACTTTTGATTCTCAAGAAGAAACTCTAAATTCTCGAGACGAAGACGAACAATCTCTTCGTATAGACACCAAGAGACCATCCTAAACTCTTTGGATGTAAACTAGGGCCTTGGAGAGCAGCAGTTGTGAACACGTGCTTCAGGCACTACATGACACAGCAGCAGCCCCAGCAGCAGGTGTGTGGGTAGTCTGGACTGTGAACCTTGTTCTCATAGCCATATACCCAGAACTTGCCAGGACCACCTTTGAACCCGTACTCCACCTCAGCTACAGGCACAATGCGCACTTGGTGTCTCTGTTATAGAAAGAAAACCCTGATATATATACTGTACAACCTTAATCATATCACTGTTGTTATTGTTTTGCTGTAATGTTATTACTGTGCTTCTTCATACAAACGCAGCGCACGCACACGCACGCGCACACGCGCGCACACGCGCACGCGCACGCACACACGCGCACGCACACACGCGCACACACGCACGCACGCACACACACGCACGCACGCACGCACACCTTACTAATTTATTCACCCCCTAAAGGTCACCATACCAGGACCTACACACAAAAAGAAAATATGCCTCCAACTAATTCACTTATCAAGCAAGTTACTTTTTTCTTCACCAAGCTCACTTTTTATGTACTTAAGTGTTGTTATTTTCTTATTATATTTAAGACAACTCTCACAATTAATATATCTTGAAAACCTTTCTGTCCCCCATCATTAATGTTTGTCGTACCATCATCAGCATAGATGGGTTAAGGTAGAGTCTCATGAGGTTAACATTAAGGTTTTCAGATAAAAAGCCCAAAGACAACCTGAAGTTGTTGAAGCTCTATGTAAGTGTAGTTCATTTTGTTTAACCCATTAATTTAACTTAAGTCGTACCTAAATGGTGCAAGATTTTCCACATTCTTTTTGTTGGCTAAAACAACCCCACAGGACCCCCAAAGTCATGTGGTAATCTACTGTATAAGCTCCTTATCTGTTTTAAAGGTCCCGGGCTTTCGGGGGTTGCTTGCCATGCACGCAGTTCTATTCAAAGGTGCCAGCAAGTCTGCTAACACTTCCACTTCTTTATGTTATTTACTTATCAATATAAAAAAAAAAATGTTTTACCGTATATACGCACTATATACAGTATTGTACACTGGAGGCACAAAATTGCGTGTCAGATAGCTTCCGGTAAGTTTTCACTGTGAAATGAGGTGCCACAGCAATATGGAAGGCAGAAACGCCGGCGCTCCTCCCTTCACCACACACACACACACACACACACCGACATCTCTCTATTTTTACGGCCTTCACACTCATCTATTTATAGCCATGATTTGTCAAGTCATATAAAATGCATTATTCTACACATCTGAACCCATGGAAGCCCTTAGCAAAAGGCCTACAGAACCCTAGCTTAACGTGACGTAAACTACGTCAGTGACCATTAAGAAGTTGAAGATTATCCGAGATGGAGTTAATAATTTTTTCATTATCAGATATAAGAGGATTTTGGCCTAAAAGCAATACGAACTTGCTTAGATATCATGTGAATCATTCCCTGGCCAGAAGCTGCTCCCAATTAAACACCCTGTGATAAGTCTATGAAAATACCTGTGCATAGGTTCGTTCATCATGGAAAGCATTCTTGTGATTGTTGACAAGCTGTGCTGACGCCAGGTTAATGGTGTTGTCCGGAAACTGTGTCAGCGGGAAGATGCGAGTACCTTCCTCTTCAAAGGCAACTTGACCAGACACTTCCTTAACCAGGGCCTCAGGCAACCCACCCTTCCTCACGATGTGTTCTGACGTATTAACCTTCCTGTAAGAACCAGAAGTTATTAGATCCTTTAAGAACGTTTATACACAATACATTAGTTAAAATATTCCTCTTCAAATATAATGATGTAATTAATAAAGGCACAGAAAATTCAGAGGACCCAAAACTGATATGGATGACAATTATAATTTAAAAACACTTATGTTATGTTGCACAGCAGTTTCGCTCTTCATAAATCTTATTAATTTTAATGTTGTAATTACTGTACTTTCTTCACACACTTACAATGGAACATAGAAGCTTTTTTAAATTTAGACTGGTGATAATATTTCATTCTTTAATATTGTCCTCAAACTAAAGACAACTGCATTACTCCCCATCCCTGAGAGAGAGAGAGAGAGAGAGAGAGAGAGAGAGAGAGAGAGAGAGAGAGAGAGAGAGATTTATTTATTCAGTAAACCAGCCATGGTAGGAACACTTACAGCACTGGACAACATCTGACAGTAGTGATGAATCACAAGTATACAGTACTATATTGAACTGCGGTAGTACATAGTGACTTACCATGTGATAGTGAGGCGGATGAAGCAGCGTATCTGGCCGTAGCTGTCACAGGGAGGACAGGCAACGCGGCCCTTAGCGTTACACTTGAGGCAGTCCTGTCGCCCATGGCCGTGGGTGGACGACTGGCAGTAGAAGCAACGCTCTTTGTACCCTGAGGAGTCCGTGTACCACCCGTCCCCGTGGCAAGACAGGCACCGTGTCTGTGAAGGCACACTTAGTTAAGAAACTGTGGTAGAGACCACACACACACACACACGAAGTGGTACTGTGTGTGCAGTGGCGTACCCAGAAATTTGCCGGGGGGACTTTGAACTAAATATACAGACGTATTGTTGAAATACTAGATAATTAATAGTCTTCTGTACAATCATGATGGGTTTACCGTTCAATTAAAAATGATTAACTAGCTACTGCTAGAACACATAATGATGCCATAATACAACAATGAAGCTAGTTGTGAAAAAAATTTCTGTTTGAGTTGTATATTTGATTACATCTAAATAAAATTATTCATTAAAAATGAAAGGGGGCTAGTCGTGCATGTGGGACTTTGTCAAATGCCTTGGAGAAACCCATGGGCAACACACCCATTCGTAAACCTTGTTACCATTTCAAGGCATGTGAGTATGATTGTCAAGCAGGATTGTCTTTCCGTTAAACAGTGTTGTGATGTATTGATTAGACTGTGCTCGGTCAGGTGACTTCCAATCCATGGCAGGTTTCCTCTGGGTACTTCGGTTTCTTTCTGTACTAGCAATGGACAATGAGAATCGTAACAAAGTAAAAAGGACAGATCAACCGCCCAAATGGTTAGCAAGATGGTAAGTGGTAGAAATGATTAATTAAAATTAATAATAACAGTGGGAGTGATGGGTATTTTTGTATCCCTGTGTGGGTGAGCGTCCGGCATTGTTGACGTGATGATGCAATTACTGTATAGAGGAACAGCAATCCATGAAATTTTGTACATGGACACAAGATAGTAAGACAATGTTCTGTAAAGTGTTCAGATAAACTCCAGATGGTCAAGGTCCTTGTCGTCATAGCTGGTACCCCTGGTCAGCTCACGGTCTTAACCCCTCAAGTATGGAGGGAGAGTACCGATTAGTGAACTCTTGTTGAAACACATCCATACAGTGTCATCAAGATCCACTTTCATTTATTCGAATTTAGGCGTTTATAAGATACAACACACACACACACACACACACACACACCAAAAAGAAAAACAAATCGGGCACTATATCTTCATCCCAAGCTGGAGGCGGCGGGGAAAAAATATTGATTATTCTAGTAGGGCGTGGATCAGTGGAGGAGTCATCTCGTGGTCATCAGAGCATCAGGAGAGGCTGACGGACGGGGGTAGACGTATTTACACGCCTGTCACACCAATTCTCTCTTGTGGAACCGAGCCCGGATTTGGATCTAAATTTGGTGCTATTTTTAAATTAGCCCAGGTTAAGTTAGATTTAGTTTAATTAGATTTGTTTAGATGTGATTACTTAAAATAAGGTTAGGACTTCCAAATGCCAACCACATTAGATCCGAAATTGAATGTTTTTGCCTGGCTGGATCTACAGGAGAGAAAATGCAACAGGTACTGTTCCTTTGTCACATACACTAAGTCTCCTTACACTCCAGAGACAGTCCAGAGGGATTGTATTAATATATGATCACAGACAAACATACACAGCCTACAGAATTTAGTATAAAATAATCATGGGTTTTCGAAAGGTATCTAAACAACGGAGTATGCAATAATCAGTAGACTGTTATTAGTAATAACTTCTTACAGAAAACAGTACACACACACACACACACACACACACACACACACACACACACACACACACACACACACACACACACACACACACACACACACACACACACACACACACACACACACACACACACACACACACACACACACACACACACACACACACACGACACTCACCCAGCCCTTGCCATGGCACTCGGAGCACTGGAGGGAGCCCGTGCCCTTGCACCGGTGGCACTCTTTGACGGAGGCTGTGTGGGGTACCTGCACCACCTTCACCTCGTCGTGGAACAGGTGGGCAGGATGGGCCTCCACGTCCCATGGCAGCGGCGCCGCACCATTAGACGGACCATCCACGTCTCCGCCGCCGTACGGAGTGAACGCCCAAGACGTCTCCCGTTTCTCCGTGAACGTCTGCAGTTCATACTGTGTGAGAGAAAGGTAAGGTAGGGTTGAGTGGGGAGTCTTATTGAAGATACAATAGAAGGTCGTTCTGAAAGAAACACAAAATTGAGTCATCCAACTATAACGAGGTGCGAGTATAGTAAATTAGGTTCAGTGGGTCATTCTGCTGTCAAGACAGTGTATGTACTGTACACTAAATCAGATAATTATTCATACTCTTAATACTTGGCAGATACACATGAGAGATGACACCTGGCTAATATTACATTACTATCACTTATCACCATTAATTCTTTGTCATGTAACAAACACTTCAAAGTTCACTTATATGTACTATTTGAGGTGTGGTGAACAAGAATATTACCGTGAAGCGACAAATTCAACTGTGATGAAAGAAAAAATACAATTTAAACTCCCTATGGCTGTTACCCGAGTATTGTAAGTCGTTCTGGAGGATGAACGCGTGGAAGCTGTGCCTATCAAACTACGAAGAAAAAATTAAAAAGAAAATTGATCAATGACAACCAACACAGCTTACCTCAGGCTTTACTATAATTTTCTCGATACTTTATAGTCAAAAAATTCTCTAAGTGCATCGTAGAGTCAGTCAGTCACTCAAGAAAACTGTTCCCTGACCCGACTAACACAACCGAAAACTCATGTGCCTGTAAAATATTCCCGACCAATACACAAGAATGGTCGGAGATATTGAATGAAAATAAGAAAACGTGAGTGATATTTTCCAGGGATGTGATAAGAAAAAAACGGAACCAATGCACAGGTTTTGGCAGGTCTGGGGTGTAAATCAACCGGAATCAAAGGCTTTCGTCCTCGTCTGAAAACTGATAGCGACACTCTGGGGGAGAAGCTGTGAACATTATTTAGGAGGCTGTGTGTGTGTGTGTGTGTGTGTGTGTGTGTACATACAATCTGCTCGACGGGCTAAAAGACATACAGACAGACAGAGAAAATATAGTTAGTGTAAAGAAACAACTCGTTACTTGGGATCCTCTTCCTAGTTTGGTGTTGTGGGTTAGCGAGTCTTAACAACAGGTCTACTGGACTCGGTGTTCGGTACCCTGTGTGAATACTCCCCCCCCCTCCCAACCACACACACAGAGTCAATATTATCTTCCTTTCTAGTTAAGGAACATCTAATTATGGGCGTCTAGCTTGAGGACCAACCCCCTCCCTCCCCACCCACTCGCCCGCCTTCCTCCTCACTAAAAACACAATTACTTCACTACGGCGACCACCCATCATCACCCACACCCTGATGACATTGTGGGTGGGTGAGAGTGGGTGTGGATGCTTGGGTGTAGATGTGGATAGTGTAGGTAAGGGTAGTGTTTACTGTATTCGACAGTATGTGGACGTAAAGCTCAGCGACATTCAAACACAAGCAATTCAAAATATTAACATGAACATTGTACTAAAATAATTAAAATACCCCCAAAATAATACAAATTAATAAAAATAAAATACACCGGCAGAATAACTGACCCTAAAATAAATATCCCCGCCAACGAGTTATTTTCACCGGGTATGATAAGCTCATTATTATTTTCCCGGACGTTCATTGTATTTTATGAGAGCACACATTGTATCTCCTATCTTTTAAATAAATAAATAAATCCATTAATAAATCGGTGAATAGAGTGTCAGCGAGTGTCAGAAACCGTTATCTCTTTACAAAACGCCAGCAAATGTCAGGAACTTCTGTACAATACGTCAGCAAATGTCAGGAACTTCTGTACAATACGTCAGCAGGAACTTCTGTACAATACGTCAGCAAATGTCAGGAATTTCTGAACAATACGTCAGCAAAAGTCAGGAACTTCTGTACAATACGTCAGCAAGTGTCAGGAATCTCTATTACTATACATCAGCAAGTAATACACGCTTCTACCTTGCGTCAGCAGTCTCCAATACAAGTCAACAACCCAGTGCGTCAGCTCATGTCAGCACACCTCCACCATGCGTCAGTAGAAGATAACGTTCAGGGAGGGAAGGAAGAAGAAGGGAAGGGGAGAGAGAGAGAGAGAGAGACCAATAACACACCTCACCCTTAGTTGTTCTGCCCCTGTCACTCACACACCTGATTTACATGTCCTGGTGGTGCATGGTGGTGCATGTCCTGGTGGTGTATGTGTCCTGGTGGTGCATGTGTCCTGGTGGTATGTGTCCTGGGTGGTGCATGTGTCCTGGTGGTGCATGTCCTGGTGATGTGCATGCCTGGTGTGCATGTCCTGGTGCATGTGTCCTGGTGGTGCATGTGTCTGGTGGTGCATGTGTCCTGGTAGTGCATGCGTCCTGGTGGTGCATGTGTCCTGGTGGTGCATGTGTCCTGGTGGTGCATGTGTCCTGGTGGTGCATGTGTCCTGGTGGTGCATGTGTCCTGGTGGTGTATGGTTCCCAGCGGTTTATCACTAGCATCATGTTCAATTATTATTATTATTATTATTATTATTATTATTATTATTATTATTATTACAGTCACCATCTCTACCCTATAAGGAAAAATTCTGACAATGTTTTTCCTATTTCTTCTTACAAACAATAAATCGTAACTCCTTCAGTCTTGGACCAATTAATCTAAAACTCGTCAGGCTTGTCACTGGGTTCGGTAAGTCCTCCAAATCCTTCGTTTTTCTGGGACTGTAATTTTGGGCATTTTGAGGGTAGTTATGGTATCAATATACTGAAAACTGTATAGCAAGACTAACTGTTCCGTTGTATTTTGATCAGTTAAGATGGAATTTGGTATAATTTGCAATGGATTAATATAGTTACTGAATAAATGAGATCTGAGGAGTTTTGCGTTCTGTTATCCTGTGGTCAGAAAAATACCTCATGATGGGGGTGGCGGGTTGCGTGGGTCAAAATATTAAAAGGAAAATAAACCAGTTAATGAATTCTATCCAGATTTTGTTGGGTTACTTCTCCACGTCAGGTTTCATTGTAATTCACTTTTAATTATTTGAGTTATCGGAGGGACGAACACACGCACGCTTACAGACACACGGACTGGTACGAGTGGCGGGCGCCGGATGTATAAAGGCTGACACTACACAGACTGTAAGGTGTGGAAAAGTGTGTTATTTCTACTTAATATCTGGAGAGGTGGGCGGCCCTATGTGGGGTGCGAAGCTCAGGCTTTGTGTTGTCGTCTTAAAAACTGTATAATATTTAGATAAAACTCGCTTTTTTAAATACGTTGACAACATTTAAAAGATAGTCGATAATAAGGTCATTTGTAGACACGAACAGGTCATTACTTGCTGTTGGAAAATGTTGACAGAGGCTAGTCAGGCCCCAGTTAACGCAGGGCCCAGAGCAGTAGCCATACCCGGCCCTGCTGGTCGAAAGCCACTGACTAATACTCCTGGGCAGATCCGAGTCTTTGTGAGTGACACGTTATACTTTGTGGGAGTGGGAGGTGTGTGTGTGTGTGTGTGTGTGAAGAGGGAGGAGGGGGGTCACAAACATCACCCAGAAGGAAAATATTCATAAAATACATAATTTTCTCTCTATCTTGTGTTGTAGAAAAACGTTTTATATCTCACAGCTCTCCTTAGTTAAGACGTAAGAGATGGCGGCAAAGGAAGGCAGAGAGAGTGGGAGGAAGGGTAGGAGAGTAGGAGGGAGGGGATGGAGAGCGGAAGGAAGGGGATGGTGAGGGTAGAGAGGGGAAGGGAAGGGGATGGGGAGGGAGAGAAGGGATGGTGAGGGTAGAGAGGGGAAGGGAAGGGGATGGGGAGGGAGAGAAGGGATGGTGAGGGTAGAGAGGGGAAGGGAAGGGATGGAGAGTGGGAGAAGGAAGCCGCGTGGGAATGTGTGAGATTCAGGGGCGTGGAAGATAAAGAAAGGCAGCCACTGATTTCCTGCCCAAGTGGGTCTCCTCCCGAGGGGCCACTCCGCGACGTGACCTCTGGTGGCCTCCCACGTCCTCTCCTCCCCCAACCCCCACCAGAGCCCCGTCCTGACCTACCCCGCCCCGCCCCGACCCACCCCACCCCGCCCTGCCCCGTCCCTCGCAACACTGGAGCCTGTGACACAAAACAACACGACATGACAGGATGATGAGCTGATACGCAATGGATTTCCGATTCTATATGGTGTGATGGCAGTAGTAGGAGTAATAGTGCAATAAGTATCAATAGTTTAGGTAGTAAAGGTAGTGCAGGTAGTATTATCGTGGTAGTAGTGGTGATGGCGGTGTACTGTATAGGATGCAGTAGTGGTAATGGTGGTAGTAGCGGTGGTGTAGGTAGAAGTGGTGGCGTAAGTAGTAGCATCTGTGGTAGTAGTGGTGATGGCCGTGTAGGTTACAGTAGTAGTAAATGGTGGTAGTAGTGGTGGAGAGTGGCAGAGTATCGTGGCCACAGCAGGGTGGTGGGTCAGGAGACGATCCCAATATGTGGAAGGAGGAACCTGACGATTCAGAATTTTCATTAATGTGTCGATTCTTTTGTGTTGGTGCACGCCTCTTTGTGTGTGTGTGTGTGTGTGTGTGTGTGTGTGTAAGGTCTAAACTCATTACACAAATTACAACGGAAAATAATAATCACAAAGACAGACCTAAAACTACACACACACACACACACACACACACACACACACACACACACACACACACACGTTCACAGACAAAACTTGCCTACAAAATAGAGTAAAGACAGACACAAACAACATCCACAACGTAAACTGGTTGTATAAAATGGAAGGCACCTCCCTGTTTTGTTAAAGCTGGTCATTAGTTCAGGGTCGTGCCACACTCACGAACTCCGTAAAAAAAAAAAAAACTTTTCATTATCCTAAAAATGCCATTGTTAGTCACCGGACTTGTGTTTCCGAGGAATGAAGCTAATATTTCAAGGTTTGTGTTTGAGAAGGTTTTTATTGAGGGGTCGAAATGTTGGGTTGGGATGGTAGACGATCTAAATTAGCTTTCAGGGATGTACAGTAGTAGTTTATCTTGGTGTTTGTGTTTACGCTGTCCCCCTGAGAAAGTTATACTG